TCCATCCCCGGAGTACGAAGTTTGTAAGAGTTCTGATTTTGAAACCAGGGGCGCCCCATCATTCCAAGGCTCCATCCCCGGAGTACGAAGTTTGTAAGAGTTCTGATTTAAAAACCAGGGGCGCCCCCATCAGTCCAAGGCTCCATCCTCGAACTTCAAAGTCCATAACAGTTCTGATTTGAAAATCAGGGGCGCCCCATCAGTCCAAGATAGTCCAAGGCTCCATTCCCGGAGTACGAAGTCTGTAAGAGTTCTGATTTGAAAATCAGGGGCGCCCCGTCAGTCCAAGGCTCCATCCCCGAAGTACGGAGTTGGTAAGAGTTCTGATTTAAAAATCCGGGGCGCCCCACCAGTCCAAGGCTCCATCCCCGGAGTATGAAGTTTGTAAGAGTTCTAATTAAGAAATCAGGGGCGCCCCATCAGTCCAAGGCTCCATCCCCGCAGTACGAAGTTGGTAAGAGCTCTGATTTAAGAATCATGGGCACACCATCAGTCCAAGGCTCCATCCCCGGGGTACGAAGTTTGTAAGAGTTCTGATTTAAGAATCATGGGCACACCATCAGTCCAAGGCTCCATCCCCGGAGTACGAGGTTTGTAAGAGTTCTGATTTCAAAATCAGGGGCGCCCATGAGTCAAAGCCTTCATCCTCGGAGTTCGAGGTCTGTATGAGTTCTGATTTATAAATCAGGGGCGTCCCATCATCCCCATCATCTCAGATTCCAACAAACCAAGTCGTGGTCCTGCCCTTTGCAGTTTGATGATAGATTGGGGGTGCAATACGGTTCTAGCAGGTCAGGCCTTGTCCTTTGACAATAACGGTCTGAAGTCGAATGAAGTCGACGTTCAGAGAATCTGGTGTCAGTCTTTCGGCGGATCATGAAGTTCAGGCCCGCTGCCCAGACGACAGGCAAAACAGAGCGGTTTCTACAGTACTGAATGCGTAACATTATTCCACACCCAGTAGTCTTCAACTTACATATCTCTAAATTAATACATACATATGTATGTACGTACACGTATAAATACATTCATACATAGAGATACAACAGAACAAAATCCTTTACATGCGCCATGATCGAGGCGTAATCAGCGCAAGTCAGCGCAATTCGGCGCAATTCAGCGCAATCGGCGCAATTCAGCGCAATCAGCGCAGTTCAGTGCATTTATAACAGGCATACTCAAGCATACCCGGCGCTACCCGGCGCTACTCGGCGCTACCCGGCGCTACCCGCCGATCACATGACGCAGTCGCGCTTTCCCGTCACAGTGCAAGTTTACGTGTGCGAATTTGAATGCTTGCTGAGAACCTTCATCGCTTTGAATCTGACTTCAACGTGGTGGCGCAGGCTTGCAATAGCGATTTCACTTTGCTTCTGGCTTCCGACAAAAAATCATTGTCGCAAGTTGCATGAGGCTGTGGCAGCCAACTCGTGGCACAACATGGGCTTTCGTCGACACCTTTGCTCTGACAAAGACGTCTTGCGACAGCATGTGGTGAGATGTAAAGCACAGAAGCCGTTCTGAAGGTAGTGTTGGGGAGAGATCCCCAACTTTGTTGTCCCCGGCTCGGGTGGTCTTGCAATTTCTTTTCGTGCACACTGCAAAATGCCGGCAGACTTGAGGTGGGTGCCGTATGCAACACGCCGCTGCCTGAACACCGGATCTGCATGTGGCAGGCTGGCTTGGCCAGGCAAGGAAGCACTCCTGCAGTCAGGCCGTGAAGAGTTCTCGATGGAAGGAGACCCTCTTAATGTGCCTGCCCCAGAACGTCGAAACCTGGGGGTATGTATGCTTTCATTGCACTCCGGCATTGCAGGATGACGACATTGAGGAGGGGCACCTGGAGGCAGTTTTACTCTCTCTATCTCTCTCTCTCTCTCTCTCTCTCTTTCTTCATTGCACACACTCTAACTTCGTGCAATAACATTCGGGACTGCTACACTCTACAGGAACACTTGCAATTTCTGCGACGTCGCCGTCTTTGCTGCATGCTGTGGCCGGAGCCCCAAAAACGTGCGAGACATTGCTGACAACGTCGCTATTCTTGGTCGCCGCAGGCTTGAGTCAGATAGCGGCGAGATCAGACTGACTCCTGGACCACGGAGGCCTGAGCGAGCGGTAGGCGCCTCAAATCTGAAAGCGGAATAACGTGGAAAAGGTCATGGGCTGTCCTGGTTGCCCCCCGGTGCTGCCTTAGGTGTCCCTGCCCATCGGAAGACGCAAGCTCTTAGTTTATCGGGGTGTCGGCTGCCAAGTGTGGACCAGCGGTGCCTCGCAGGCTGCTGTTTTGGTGCTTGTAAGGACCGCATGACGTTTTCCTACAAGCCTTCCGGAAGGCCAGCATGTCAGTTCTGCAATTGGGGAGGCATTAGTCGCAGTCCGTCTCGCGGTACCGCAATCACGACTGAATAGTCCGCGGCATTATCTGAACGGCATGGATCCCTCGGTTCTGGCATGCTTTCTAGGTGTTTTCAGGTTTCATGTCTCGGCAGCAGACTCAACTTCCGCTGTGCCTAGCACCCAACATGCCCGCCCAACGCTGGAAAATTGATTCAGCACACCAACGTTTGCGATTGAGCTGGAATTGCTAGTCATGTTTGCATGACCCACGATACTGCAGGAGCCTCCCTTGGGGCCGGAAAGGGGTGGTGTGTGGGTGGGACCATGCCGCTTACACACGAATGTGTTCAGAATCACCAGCACGCCGCTGGTCTTTTGAGGTTTGTCGTTTTACAAAGCTGGGTTCTGGAGCCCCCTGCCAAGTTTGTGACTCAGGGCCTGATACGCGGTGATTTCGTGGCATTGTTGACGTTTTGACAACCAGCCTTGTCACTGAGGTTTCAGGTCGGCAAGCTGGAAGGACATCCAATGATGAAGGCAGGCTGTTGTTTTCTCTTCTTATTTTCCGAAGTTTGCTCCCAATCGAAAGGCAGAGGCTATGGGAATCATGAGCGGGCGGCCACATCCAGAGGCATCCTGCCTCAACAGTTTTGGGCCACTGCGCTAAGCATCCAGAAGCAAACGCGATGCAGGGAGACCGTGTGCACATTATGAGTGCCTTGCGCTCAGACGTGGGCTCTCGCAGTAGTAGCTCGGTTGCTCAGAAACTGCAGGTCATGAGCCGCCTTCCCGGAGGAGGTAGTGGACCAGACCAGTGCCGCACAGCATGGCGGTCTGGGCTTATCAATCGAGACCTTGCTTGACCTTACTTGGTGAGGTACTGGTCCATGTTGCTGGACGGGACGGATGGGATGCTGTCCATTCCCTCGGGAAGGCGTGCAATGACCACCTGCCTCGAAACAGATTGTGAGAAAGTGTTTGATTAGCAGCTTATTTTTCTTGTGTCTTCTGCGCTTGAAGTGAAAGATCATAAAAATCCGCTTCTGGGTTTAAGAGGACGGTCCTCAAGCTGACAGGCTCTTTGGCCCTACAAGCCACACAGTAAGAGGAACAAAGTGGTAAGCATAACAAGCACAACTTGGTGACATCGTTGTGCGGATTAGGAGATGGGTGGCGTCTGAGATGGTCCCTAACTGAGTCCGCAGCCGATCCACAGGTGGGACACCGAAATATACTGCACAAAGGCTCGGGGGTGCGCACATTGCTGGATAGCAGTGAGTTGCATCGTGGGTATACGGTATCTGGCATGACGGAACCGCTGTAACTCCGGAGACTTGTCTGTTTTCAGGAGGGAGAACACGATGCGCCTGGCAAGTGTTACACCATCCATGGAGCCTTCGTTGCCAGCGCCTCCAAAATCTACGCCTGTGCAACACGGATCTTTGGGAGCTTGACTCATGCTCGAGGCGAACGAAGAAATTTTCTCCTTTGACAATACCTTTTTCGACATTCCGCAAGAGGAAGCTACGCGGGATGCCCCGGCAATGCAGGGCTGCACGCAGCTGCCTTGGAAGGACCAGAAGTGCATTGCTGAGGTTCATGTCCCCAAGTCAGCGCGTCGTCATGGAAGATGGGTACACGGTTCTTTTCCGCGGTGGCTACAACAAGGCATGCTGGGACTGGTGCCAAGGTGGCAGAGAGCTGCATCACATCCTGACAGGAAAGCCTTCGAGGAAGAAGCATCGGCGTGTTTTTAGGCGATACTGGTTCCGTCAGGGTCTTAGCTTGTGAAGGTGTTGACGATGCTTAGCTTGCAGTCGCACCCACTGAACATCCAAGAGCCATTCGGGCACGGGATGCAGCAGCACTCCGCACTTTCATTTGACCAGAAACAGATCTCAAAAGGGCGGCAATTGAGCGAAGGCATGCTGGTCTACAGTCTAGAGTCTAGAGATGGCCGAGGACTGGTCGCCATTCAATCCGGCCGAACATGTCGTCTATCGAGGGCAGGCATTCTGCTTGTCAAAGCTGAATGCCCCATCGTTCGGGGAAGACAGGAAAGCACCGTCCCGCTTTGTGCAGGAGAGACGGACTGTGACTGGTCTAGCCCTTTGCTGTTGCGGTTGCATGCTTGTTCTCATGCTTGATGATGCGCCATGTTGTGGGTGCAAACTGCCGAGGTGCACACGCCACTGCTTACACTGGACACAACACCTCAGCCACTTACCGTGAAGCCGTCTGCACACCATGGATAGGTCTGACATGTTGTGCGAACTGTTGCCCTCAAGTCGCAGCGTTTCTAGGTGGTGCCATGCAGATTGTCTCATGCATTGGATCTGGTCGGCTAGGGACTCAGAAGCCTTCACTTCAGCCTGCTGGGTCTCGGAGTTGCAACTCAGGTCCTTCCAATACCGCTGACACAGCTTGTTCTTCGTCACTTGTTGCAACCGGGGTGCCGCTGACTCCTTTGATCTTGAACGGCACCTGCGCTCTCTGCAATGTCTCGTGAGAGAAAGCGAGGAAGAGAGAATCTGAAGATTCAAACTTAGACACCCGTTTTTTCCATCCGTACTAATGACCCTACAGGGATTCGGGATGCAGCAGCATGATGTCCACATCATAAAGGATATTTACACGGACCCAACATGATACGCTGTGGTAGGTATATACGGAGAAACGGCCAGAGGTACTCCGCCCACCGGAATCAGGCAAGGATGGCCCCATTATGTCCAAATCTATCGTTATTGGTATCGGATGTGGATCGTAGTCGTAGACTACTCAGCACAGGAGTCGCAACTAATACCTGGTCAGTGGGTAAACCAGTATATGACCTAAAATATGCTGACGATATACTATTGTTCGGGGTAACAGTCCCAGCGTTAGAGGAACCACGCTGTGTAGATTATATTGATATCTCAACTTCACCAATCGGGGAACCTACAGATTCCAACGCTGACTACTCCTCCATCCTTCATTGACAACACACCCACGCCAACAAGTGAAAAGATAACACATCCAGGCTCCATGGTTACTTGGACCCCATCCTAGAAGCCATCAGCCATAGAATGTCGCACGCACATGTTGCTTATGGAAAACTGTCGGCATTCTGGTACCCCAAAAGACAACGCTAGCAGTCTGCAGGTCATATTTGGTATCAGTACTCCTGTACAGACTTTCGGGAGGTCAGCACCTAAAGAAAGTCGACAGCTGCAACCTTGCCCTCCCAACAAATTCAACAACTCATTCAAGGATTGGCTTATCCTCATAATGACCCACTCGACCACGAATCTTTTCGCCTGCATACCAAGACAGAGTTGGTATCCACAAGAATGGCCGAAGAGGTCCTCTACCCCCGCATTGGCTAGGGTTAGTATCGGCTGGGTTGCGGCAACCTTCTGCAGTGACAACTTGTGCAGCTTGCTCTTTATCGCGTCATTTCCTTGAATAGGATTCTGTTGACTTAGGCATTTGCAGTTCTTCTTTGCCAGGTTGCAATGCAGTGGCTGCGACCGCGAAACGTGGGGCAGCTGGAGCATTTGAACGTTGGCAGGCTTCCACTGCCGGGTTCGAGCAGAACAGGGAAAGATTCATGTGCGCACAAGGCATCTGTAAGCCAGCCAAGAGTCCTGCGACCCGTCCAGCATTCAAGTTGACTGTGCAACTATGAGAGCTGATTAACATGGCATGCGCCTGATGTAGCTTCAGGGTCTGCCTGAGCGACAATTTTGAAGCTCCGCTCGTAGTTTGGTGTTACGTCTAGAGAACAACTATACCATACAGCGACAGAAAGGGCACAGAGCTGGCAGCTGACCTGAACACAGATGCAGAGAAGACTTGGTGGTCACTGCCATTGGGTTCGAGGGTGGAAACACCGTCAATCTCATGGGTCATGGAAGGTAGGCGATGGTAGGCAGAGCAGTTTGAGACCTACGCAATTCGCACGAATCTTTTCATCTTTGGTTTGAATACTGGCTCGTCCAGCAGATCAGAACTCAAGAGTCGAAATGGCTCTTTCCCCAGATGGCACTTCCAGCAGTAGGTCAAAAGAGATCGAGGAGCTCCACTCCTTGATTTCTCAACACCTGCGCTGCGCTGCAGTGCCGGGCTATGTGATTGAGTCTGTGGAAAGAAGTTTGGAGAAGGCGCTTCGATCTGAGCCGAACTTCAACAGCCACTTGTTGCAACGGTTTCATCAGCTCCCTACTCAGCACGTGGAGCCAAAGGTCACAAAATACAAGAAGGCATTCTCTGCTGACAACACTTCCGACCGGGAAGCTGCCTCGCATTCCACTCTGTTCTTTACAAGGAGCTGGGCTTTGGCTTTACTGGGAGTACTAGCGCTCAGCATGGTTTTTGCACCTTGTGTTGCTTACAGCGAGTGGTGCCGGAGCTGCACAAGCTGGGATGCAGATAGCCGGTACGTAGATCCGTGGGGCTTTAGTGAAGGTTTCGGGGTTGAGACGCTGGCGTGCAGTATCAGGTTCAGGTTGTCTCGAGTTCAGGTACATCGACGAATTGTTCGCGGCTGTTCGGAACGCTGATGCTCGAGGGGATACACCTCTCGTAGAGCTGTTGCGGCACGATTTCTGGGGCAACTCATTACAAGGTGGTTGGACTCATAAGTCCTATCGACCGTTGGTCGTGCTCTCTTATGTGGCGCAGTATTGGTTGAATTCTTGGGATTTCAAGCCGCAGCCGCTGCGTGCCTTCAACGTTGCAGTTCATGCCGCCAACTCCATCTTGCTAGTGTTGGTGCTCCGTCGACTGAAGGTCGCTCCGTGCCCAGCTTTTCTAGCCGCTGCCCTGTTTGCTGTTCATCCTGTGCATGCGGAAAATGTGATCTATCTGGTAGGGCGAGCTGACTCGATGGCCACGTGTTGTTGGTTGGTTGCCTGCTTGTCTTGGAACCCACTTCAGCGGCGTGGGGTAGTTTCGCACACGTGGCGTGTGAGCTTGGTAACTGTCCTTGCAGTATTGGGCGGATTTTGCAAAGAAAGTGGCTTCTGCGTCTTGCTCCATCTCGCAGTAGTTGAACTGTTGGGGCCTCGCCCGCTGAGTGGCGCACTTCCCCTCGTTGGTGCTTTCTGCGTTGTATTTCTCGGACGAAACTGGATAACTGCAGGCACATCGGCTGGCTTCTCGTTCGTGGATGCACCTGTCCAATACCGGAGCGATCCGCTCGTGCGGTCGGCTACGTATCTTTATTTCCATGCCAAGTATGCGCAGCTCATGGTGTTTCCATGGATCCTGTCCTGGGACTATTCGTATAATGCCTTGCCAGACCTGGCAGGTACTTGGCAAGACCTTCGGATGCTCGCCATCCTCGCTGCGTACCAGAGTTTGTTGTCTTTGGCTGCGTGGGCATTTGCGAAGAGGAAGCGATTGGTGTTGATTGGTCTCAGCAACATGATTATACCGTTTGTTCCAGCCTCCAACCTTTTCTTCGTGGTTGGTGTTACAGTCGGCGAGCGCTTATTGTATCCCTGCAACATTGGCGCAGCAATCGTCCTCGGCGCAATGTGTACACCGGGCAAAGTTGCTGAGATACATACGGGGGTTACGGAGGCTCCTGTGGTTCCACGGCCGGTGCAGGGACACGCTAAGTTTCGCTGGTTCAAGATGCTGCTCGCCGCTGTGCTCATCGTTTTCGCTGTCCTCGCGAGGATCCGGACCCATCAATGGTCTTCGCGTGAGCTCCTGTTCGGTGCAGATGCAAAAAACTACCCGCAGTCCACCAAGGCGCGCCACCAGTTCGGGACCCTTGGCATGGGCATGTTGCAATTTCGGCTTGCATAGCAGCATGCCAAACCGAGAACATGGACAAGGCTTTGGTACAGGAAGCCTGTCTTTGCTCAGGACAGTGCTGCACAAAATGGAACGCTTCGACGAGGCATTGTTCCATTTCGAGGCTGCTGAGCAAATCTATGTGCCCGGGCGCGCACATTTGCGTTTTTGGGGTTTGGAGATGTTTGGAGAGATTGTGTGAACATGAAGAACATGCATAATGAACATGAGTGAGCCGATTTCGATCCCCAGGCTCAGCGCATATCGCACTACTGATGGCCCATTTTCTGCAGAATAGCCATGGGGTGAAGCATAATCAAAGGCATTCCAAGTACTGAGGACGGCACTGGGCTCACGCAGTATTGCATCGGTCAAATCCTGCTGGAAACGGGCCGTGCCAGAGAGGCTGAGGAGAAGTTCCAGAAGATTCTCTCTGGGTGCCGAAGTTGAAGTATTTTGAGTGCAGGGTCGCCGTTTTGCTCCTGGCCGTGCATCGGAGTCGTCAAGGGCAGTCTTTGTTCTGCCTGCAAATTGATGCTAAGGCATGCTTTGGGTTTCGGCTCCCACAACATCTTCTCTCTGTACATCGACTATGGACCTTAGTCAGCAAGAGCTGTGATGCTGTAATTAGGAAAGACAGCCTTACGGCACCAAAATGAAGCGCCACCTGCAGTGTTTAGTTTCCAGGCTTCTCTCTGGTTCTGCAACAGCGCTTTGTCGAAGCCGTGGACCCGATCAAGGAAGGATTACGCCGCAACGAGGATGTGCCTTATGGTCTCAATGCCCTCGGCCCCCAGGAGAATTTACATATCGCAAGCTTTGGGGTCTCCCGGATGGCAGCTGTTGCTGTGTTTGCTTCATCGCCTTCCAAGGCTACTCCTACCTGAACGTCGGAAAGATGCAAGAAGCTCTCGAGGCCCTGGAGCTCGGCCTCAAGTACGATCCAACAAATGCTTCCAGGAAGCACTCATAGCCAATTTCTCGCCGGGTCACTTACTCGGCCATCTCTTTTAATGTGCCCTCCGAGGGGAGGGGGACATGCGCGACAGCTACTCAGCAGATAGCTAGTCTTTGGTTCGTGGCGGCACGAGTGTCGAGCTGCCTAGCGACGGAACCATCTCCATATTACTCAAGTGGGAACGTGCATGACTTCTCATGCCATGCGGCGCACAGTGGACAACAGCGTACATGTCACGCTTCCATCTAAAATCTTGTCCGAAGCTGTGCTCGAAGGCTTACCTGGAGAACAATCTGGGTGTCGCCAACGTGTACGCAGGGCAGCTGAACGAGGGTGCTGTCCGCATTGCAAGATCAGCTCAGCTGGAGCCCGGCGTGCCTGCATTTGCACACAATGTGGTTCTGCTGCGAGAAATGGCGGTTGCTTGCCATCAACAAGCCGACTTGTCCTTGCTTTTGCTGTAGAGAACGTTCTAAGGCATTCTAGGGGTGATCTTTTGTAGCCAAGCTCCGAAGTGCCTGCAGGACACTGGCAAGTTGCCGGCGAAGCAGTTTGCGCTGGAGCTTTTTTACAATAGAGGTATGTAGCCGAGGGAGCTGTGACAACACCCGGACAGCCGGATGTGCCATTTGGCCCTGCTTGCACCAATTGAACTCGTGGGCTCGGGAGCAAGTGCAGCACACCCCAAAAAGTCATGACGCCCCGGCATCGGAAAAGATAACAGATATCAAAGAGGTTCTGCCAAATTTAGTGTGCGTTCATGCAGGCTGCAAGAGGCAGTCGCTGGAGGCATTTGCTGCCAAATAGGCCTGCCGGTCATGTTTGTTTCCAAGATGGCGTTTTTCCGTCCTTGACTATCTCTGTTTGACTCGGACTTTACTGTTTGTTTCGTTGTCAATTTCCGCCAGGTCCGGCCACCTATATTGCCATGCTGGTGGCTCAGGCAAATGTTCTCGTCACATCATGCAGCACGTTACCAAGAGACGTGGCAGTAAACCTATCCGGCCCGAAAAAGGCCGGTATTGCCGCCCAAATGTAGCGACACCCTTCTCCACGGTGAGTGCTTGATGGTGAGTCAGTGAAGAAGTGTCAACGAAGGGTAAGTGTGAGTGAGAGTCAAACCGGACAGAGCGAGAGACAGTGTGTGTTGGCTCGTCGGGGGAAGCCCAGACTCCCGGCCTAGCAGAGCAGGTGTCACGCAGCAACGCTTTAAAGGAGGCGGACCAAAGGGTGCTGAAGCGGGAACGGTGTGTCAACACAAAGTTCAACAGATGGCTTCGGTCCCAAGACTCAGGAATTACAGTGTCGTTCGGGCCTCTGGCGGCGACGGCATCGCAATGCAGTCGGAATGCGTTCAGGGACAGCCTCTGTACACAAACGAAAAGGCGAGGGGTTTCCAAGAAAAGCGCGTGATATGCTTAGCCGTTAGTCGTCGCAAGAAACAATGAAGGACCTAGCAGGTTCGCAAGCTTGCTTTCTGAAGCCGCAGGACTGTAATAGGAGCAGCCTCCAGGGCCCATGGCTTGTCGGGCCGTGCCTCACTGCCGACAGTATGCTGATCTAGACCGGAAGAAGACCTCGGGCAGATGACGCTGTCCGACGAACTGCACTACGTGACTCATTCCACCTTGTCGAAGCTTTTCAAGATTTGCGAAATTTAACGTTTTACATCAAAGAAGATCAGACCACAGGCAGTGGTGAAAAGGCGGAAGCGCACGCGACAGGTGCAGTGCCTTTTTGTTGCATGAGGTTGGTGCGGGACCATAGCTAGTGCATTGGCGCACAAATATTGAAACTGGACGCGCTGGCCTTTGGCTTCTGGCCTTCGATTCGACAGCATCCTCCCCAAACTGAACTAAGTGACTAAGTGTTGACTAGGAAGATGGGCCGAAGCGAGGACCAGGCCTTCTGGTTGACGAGGTTTTCTTGCTGGGCATCAGGTACAGGCATCGATGTGTTCTCCAACACCTTAAGCAGCTTTTGAGTTTATGCTTATGACATGAGATATGATGTACAAAAGTCCGTAGCATGTACTGCGTGGACTCAGCAAGACTGAACGGCACCACCCAGGTAACGATGCCATTGACGGTGCTTTTGCGCCAGCTTCATTTCACCTACAAGTCTATGCCTGTTCCATCTTTTTTTGTGTCAGAATCCTCGTCTAGGCGCTTTCTGCCAAAACATCTAGGCGTTTACTGCTAAAACATGTGGAAGACGTTGAGGCTTTGGTTGAAGTGTCCAGGATATCTGTGGATCGTGACTACGTCTCCAAAACGGTAGAAGCTGCTGCCGAAGACAGGCTTCCGCTGCCGGCTCTCGCACCGAGTAGTTAGAAGCTGGTGCTTTGAAAGGTTTATAAGCCAGCAGTCGCAGATCACGGGAAAAGTGTTGGAGGCATTGGACTACAAACATTTGGGAAGATAGGAGTAGCACTGTGCTGATGGTTTCTTGTCTATGTTAGTCATTTTCTAGAGAGTTATAGCTTCTTTCCTGGCTTCACAAAGAACAGGTTTTCAGCAGAACCCGCCAACTGTCCTGGCATGATGCTCGGATGTACAGAAGTACACCCGAATGTATTGTTTGGGGAGGTAATCTTGATCACTCCTGAGTTTTGCGCCCAGAGTTACAGCACTTTGCAAGACATTACAAGTGCAAAGCGATGATAATCTGGGAGTTCGTCAAGCTCCCGGTATCAAACGGGGCTCGCCGAGTGTCCCTCCGGAGCTCTCTTAGCTAGGCCCTTCGGGCTTGGGTTTGTCTCTATTGCAAAATAACCCCATCCACAATGTACATCTTTACGGCAGTTGATGAGGCTCCGTGGAGCAGTTTTGTGGTTTGGCAGGGAGTCTGAAATGAGGCGATGGCGGAGATATTTGCAACCATGTTACCGGTTGCGGGTTGCTAGAGATTCGCTTCTGTCGCGATAATGAATCGCGGTCCTTCAGCATGAGAAACAAGCGGTTCGTTTGTCATTATCTTAATGCAGACGACCACCGCTGAACGAAGTCCTGCAATTTCCCCTCCTTCTTCCAGAGAACGAAGCCACCAAACGACACGGGTGAGAGTGATAAGCCCGGACGATGTCAGAGCTATGACATGATCCGGGTACATCGGTGTCACCCGCACATCCCAGCCGTAGAATCCTTGGCCGCTCTCCGCTGAAAATGCTATGCATGTTTGACGGGGCGATTTCTAGACAGTCGACCCGACAACAAAGCGTGCACCAGACAGTCGACCCGACAACAAAGCGTGCCAAGGCATGTCAGATCATGTGCTAGGGCATGTGAGGCGTGCGCTGTTGGCGTTGCAACACTCAGGTGCGGACTGCATATGCTGTCAACAATGGGCAGATGTTTCACTTTCAATGAGAGCGGCACACTGAGCAGAACAGTCGCCTGCAGCAGTGCTTCGGCAGGGCCAGGCAGCGTGTGTTGCTGAGGTGGGGACGGCTATGCCCGAGGTGAGGGCTGCGGTCTCCTCTACTTGAAAGCCGATGTCTCGGAGGCGTTTCTGACAGTTAAAGACTCAGACTGATGACTCGCACGTGCCTGCTCAAGACTTGGCCCACACACATGTTGCACACGTGATGGCCTGACACCTCCAATCCGAACCCAGCGGGTGGCATGGAGTTACAATCAGAACTGAACTGGGGCTACGAATATACCCTCTGTGCCGGATGATACATGATGGTGCGGACTACTTGGCAGCATTTTTGCGGCTGCTCGACTGTGTGTTGATTTCTCACAGGTTGGATGCGGATATGCCTCCAATGCTTGCTTGAGTAAGAAGCGTGAGCTCAAGGAACACTGCTGGTCATGTGCTTCCTGCCTGGCTTCGCTTCTTCGACACCGCTGAAGACGGCGATGGCCAGGTGTCCTTGGAGGTCGGAAAACTTGAAGTGTGAGTACCAGACTTAGGGCTCTGTTAACATGCATTTGCGCTCGTTGTTGTGCATGTTTTTTTTGTTTGGTCCCCTACTTCCCCTGCTTTCTTACTCTTTGCTTCTTGCTGCTGCTTTCACTTTTGCTTTGCGCTCGGTCTTTTGTTCGGCTTGTACTACTGTGTTTTCGTTTTCCTTGTTATGCTGCTTCTTTATGGTGTTGCTCTTTGCCCCTCGACAGTTGCAGGCATTTGCGCACGAACCAGGCTATGTGAACGATAGCTTCGCCTGTCTCGCATTCCGACCATCTGCCTTGCGAATTTGGCCTTATTTCGAGGTGTCGGCTTAAGGCTTGGGGATGGGAAATTTCCAGTTCCGTTGGGCACCCTAGATACCAGCCCCGCATCCCTGAAGCCAAGCCAAACGAAGCCAAGCCAACTGTTTCCAAAGTTGGGGTTCGTGCCGTGGCTGCTGCAGGCTTCAGCGATGTTGGAGGTGATTGTAAATACTTGCAAGAGTAGTAGCCAGGACATCTTGATATCGGAAACGATTTGGTAATCAAGCACAGTGCCCGAAAATTGCAACATTACCCACTTAGAAGACATGCTCCACCGAAGCGTGCCAGACTTTCCACAGAGTGCTACCCACTGGTATTGTAAGGAGATGTCAAGGGGGATGTCTTTGTGTTGTCCCTGTAAGTCTGGGGGACGGGGAAGCCGCCACAAGTCGTTGTTTTCAGGCTGGCCCCCTTGGGGTGGGCAATCTTTGGGGTTGGAGACAGTTGCAGTGAGGATATCTACACGAAGCAGGACATGCACGCATCACGCCAAAGCTGGACCTCGCGTTTCGGAATTCTCGCAATGCCAAGTCGAGCCAAACTAAATGGCAGTTTGAAGCGGGAGTGCGGAGGTGCCACGAACAAGAAAGCAAGACAAATCTCGCACAAGTGCCCACATCCGTTTTGCATCCATGCTTCGGTAGAGGGTCTCCTTTGGTGCGAACCTGCGGAGGAGTTCATCACTGCCATGCGAAGGTTTCTTGGCTTGTGTTGAGTCCCGCAATGTCCCGCACGAAGCAGAGGTCTCAGTCTGACATGTGCTCCAACTTCGAAGCGGTTTGACAAGAGGAAACGTCTCATGATGTCCACCGTGCTCAATCATGAGCTTCGTGCATGAGGTTGCAATTCACTGGAGATGCTGAAGGAATCTTCACGCAGATAGACGCCGCAAGTCCTGATTTGGATACGTGCTCAATCATCAGCCATAATTTCTGTGTTGAGCTAGTGCCTAGGCGGACGAGTCCGGTTTCCTGACCCTCTACGAGGCGCAATGAAGTGAAAGTAGATGCCATGTTTGCCTCGCATATCTTCGCATTCCTGTGCAGGTGGATGGGAAATGCGCTGACCTCTGGGCAGCCTTCCGTGCCTGGTGTGCTGAGACATTCTCGAGCACTGAGGATATGGCTGCTCGGTCCTCGTAGCTGTCATGTGCGAGTTGAAAGGGTCTCGCTCTGGAAATACATGAACAACCAGGTTTCGTGGCATTGCTGAACATGTCGAATAGACCATAGTAGATCAGACAGACCGGCATGCGTGTATATAGATTTAGACCATTTAGGACATGGCGGCACGGGCCTCATGCTACCAGTGCCCGTGCGTGCAATCGCACGTTTACCCGACAGCCCTTTCTCTGCAAATGCCCCGGCTTAAACTTAGCAGGTCTTGAGCATTTCAACGAAAGTGAAAGGTGCTCCAAATGCATCCGCAGGGCCTTGCAGGATTTTGCAGGCATTGAGTCCGAGTCCTGGGAAGATTCAGGGCGACACCAAGAACAGGGAATGAAGCTAAAAGTTAGCTCGACTGGCAAGCTCAAATTGTGCATTGTTAACCGACTTGTTGATGCACATGGTCGTTCCGCTCGACAAGCTTGCAGGCTTCAGATGGGCTAAAGGAGAGTTCATGTTCGAGCCAGTTTGTGACGATAGCAGCATCTCCACATGTTGTGGACCCGTATGCACAGTTCCGGCCCTCGAAGCTGTCAGGTTGCTCAGCTTCGTGGGACCATTGTCGACTTGGGCCCTCCCGAAGGAGAGCGCCGAACCTTCAAGAAGCAGAGGAGTGCCGTACCTCCCATCGAAGCTTGTATCAAGACCTGTGGGTCAACATGGCAGTACCACCAGAAGCAAAGCAAACCGTGACTGAGGAAGCTACCTTCATCAAAGAGCAGTTCCTAGAAAATGCCCCGCGGCACGGCTGGTGGCTCGGCTCCTGCATACGAGCTACGCAGTCGTAAGCAGCATTTCCACGCGAGGCTCGAATGTAGGAGGAAGGCCAAGATGCGTTTGGACTCAAGCTTGCTGAAAGGTATGGTGGATTCGAAGAAGTTCTTTTTGCTTCCATTGATCGAAGGCAAAGTGGGTACCGTGCTCAGCTTGACTATTTTCATCGGGCCGGGGAGCTCACTTCATCCGAGGTATGTCACACATGCCGATCTGCCTTGGTTTGACAAGGCGCAGATCTACCCAAGTGCTGCCTAACGAGATGTCTTGCTGGGCGGTCTGCATGTGCGTCGACTTGCGAAGGGAGGAAGCTGTCTGTCGCTGTCTATCTGTATGCGGATGTGCCTGTACGTGGTGCAAGGAAGCTGGGAAGGGTGAGTTGATAATTTGCTGGATTCTATTATGCCTCGTCAAGCTGTTTTTTACCATTCACCAAAGGACCAACTTCTTCTGAAAAAGTGGACATAGATTCAGGTAGCGCTTCGTGTTGGTATGTTCTAGGTCTCGTCCCCTTTCCTGACGAAGGGCTTGTCTATGTTGATGAGTCGTTCGTATTGTGAGGCCATCCACTCGATTGTCGCAGCTGTGCGTTTCGATATGCAAGTCTGACATCGGGGAGCCCGGGCGCGTGCCAGCACGCGGGACACGTGTTGTGTGCATGGATGGACGGACGGACGGATGCATTCATGGCTGGCTGGCTGGATGGATGGATGAACCCGTCCGTCTGTCCGTTGGTCTGTCTGTCTGTCTGTCTGTCTGTCTGTCTGTCTGTCTATCTATGTGTATGTCTGTGTTTCTATTTATGTCTATGTATGTATGTGTATGTCTGTTCCTCAGTCGCATGCTCAGAAGCTAGAAGCACTGTCACCAGTACAGTGCTAGCTGGCGGACGAGTGGCTAACTACCAGGCGTTCTTGCTTGCAAGCCTGCAGCAACATGTGTGTGTCTGTTTATGTTTGTGTATGTATGTGCATGCATGAGTGCATGCATGTTTGTATGTGTATGCACGTGTATGCCAATCATCAAACCTCGGCATGTCACACGTCCGAGTTTGCAGCATCGACGAAGACTAGGCCCGTGACTGGAGTGCCCGGCTACACATTGAGTCGGTGTTTTCTTGACCCACGTGTTTTTGCATCTGCAGATGTGTGCCCCGTATGAATGTGGGCTGGTTGCATGCACTCGTGCACGATCTTTGTTTATTTTTTAATAAACCTTGCCTGATGTCACTCGATTCTCGCAATGACTCGCTCGCAGTTGGCCAATAGCAGTCACAGTCATCCTACAGGTGATTCATAATCCCGGAAGTCTTGAGCTTAATTTGGGCCGTATTGGGTCACGGCCGCCCCTGACTGTTCTCGCGATTCCCGGCCGGGACATTGCCGGGACACCTCAGAATATCTTGCATCGAACACACAACTGCAAACAAAGGGTCTCGCTTGCATCAGAGAGTCGTGCAAGGAAAAATGCCGAAGGACCGAGTGGGGCGTAGTTTGGGCCATTGTGAACAGAGCTCCGAACGCATGGCCCAGGGTGAAGTACAGAGTACGTCTTGGGTCGAGAGCGATTCTTGAAGCGGGCCTGAAACCTCGGCGTTTCAATGGTTGCCCACTTCGGCGTGTGGGCTCTAACTGTTTTACTGATGGGGTGCTGTATGTCATGTCTTGGTGCTGACAGGCATTGGAGCAGCACCGACGGCGGATGCAGCTGCGACCAGCAAACAGCAGGGCCAACTTGAGTGGTACGACTTCCGTCTCTCCTCAAGCACCCAAGAAGAATGCCATGCAGGCGCTCTTGGCATTCATGAGCTTCCTGCGAAGCGGCAGCCAGGGGGGAAGCCTGATGCACTCCTGGCGATCTGCACTGGATCGGGATGGGTACTTATACGTCCAGAAGTCTGACATCATCAGAGCCTGCTCACAGATGGGGTGGCGTGGTGATGTGTCAGCTTTATGGAGCTGCCTCGATATCACGAACGGACGTGCTTCACTCGAAGAGTTTGGCTTCAAGGAGGCGAGGGCTTTGGCGTTATTCAGAGAATGGGCTTTGAAAATAGCTGGCAGCATCAAGGAAGCTTGGCAAAGGCTTGTTTTCCTGGAGAAGATGTACCAACGCAAGCTGCGGCAGACAGCCACCAGCGGGGGTTCTTCGACTGACAGCTTGAATCGTAAGGCCTGGGTTTATGCATGCAGCAAATTAGCTGGCCAAGACAAAGGTGGACCGCCCTTCGATCCGAACTTTCTCTTTACAGTATTGGATTGGGAGCCCAATGAGAAGGTTTCGTGGAGAGATTTGCGATTTCTTGAGCTCTGGGAGCCTGTCGGATGGTTGTCTGAACAGCCCAAGGCCAGCGAAGCCTTGTCTTTCAAAGCGTCGATGTTGTCTAAGTATGGAAATCACCCGGTGAAAGCCTGGCGGTTATGCCTTGATTTGGATGGCAACGGTCTCTGCAAATGGTCTGCCTTTAAGCAGGCGGCTGAACGCATCAACTGGAAGGGGGACTGTGCGAAAGCTTGGCTGGGCTTGGACAAAAGAGGCTTGGGTTTCATTACGCTTTATGAAATTGACGAGGAAGTCGCTGAGAACTTGGCACTTTTTCGCAGATGGTGCTTTGCAAATTATGGTGGAGTCGCGATTGCATTCCATGCGTTGGACACCGATGGCTCGGGAAGCCTCAGTGAGGAAGAGTTTGTGCACGTCATCGAGGCGTCTTCCTTCAAGGGTGATGCACATGCAGCCTGGAGGTCGTTGAACCTGGAAGCGAGCGACATCCTCTCAGAGCGGGAGATGGATTTCCTGGACGACATGGAGCTAGACATGCTCACTGCGTATGTCTCTGCGACAGAGGCAGCAGAGGAACATGAAGCACAGCATGATGTCGAGCGCAGCGATCTTGACTCTCCTGTGAGCGAGAGGCAAAGCATAGTGGCATCGGAGCCTTCGCAGGAGTTTCGACCGCTCCTTTCCACGATGGAGTCTTGCTCGGAGCTGGTGCGCAGCCTGGGCCTGCAAGGCAATTCACACGCTTCTAGCTCGAGCCTTTCACAGCTCCTTTTCGATACAAGTGCTCATCTCCCGGCGCAGCCGGAAACGGTCGCTCCCAGTAAAGCTAAACTTGCGATGTTGGCTCCAAGTGCAGCAGCTGCCGCAGGCTCGGCACAGAAGAGAGACAGACGGCTCTATGCAGGTGGCATTCCATACATGTCCATGATTGGGCGCCACCTCACGAATTGAGTTGGTCCAGGCATGCACAAATGCGATGCACGACGATGCTAGGCCTCCGGTTATCACGAACTTCTTGTGACTGCTTGCGAAGCACAGCGCAGGGGTCGAATCCGTACAGCATGCAGCCTGAGCTGTTCACATGACGTCGTGACGCTCACATGCTCGCGGCTGTCAACCAGTTTTGATGGGTTTCATAATAGTAGCCGTTCACAGTATCCCGATCACTCTCGGTAGACAGTGCGAATATTGATCTGGTTGCGTGAGCAATTGCTTGAGCAAGCGCAATTGCTTTTCATCAACGCACGACGGCGGCAGCTACAGTCGCGAGACCACGCATGCTACTAGTACGTCCTTCTGCGCTTGCAGAGAGGGGCCCTCCTGCTCCTGATGCTTGCATCGTATTATGTCGGTGTGACAAAGAGCCACATCATTTCGATGCCAAAGTGCAGGGCGATGCAGGCACAGGTCCGCGAAGGCATTGCCTAATGTACAATTAACAACGTGTACGCCCGTGTCCGTTTCCTTGCCCGGACTGTACTCCAGCTTCTAGGCACAGTTATTGCAGGCGACATGTGGAGAGTCCTCCCGGGCTCTTTTTAGGTCCCCAATATAGTACGGCACCCTTATAAACAGGACTCTAAAGGACCCTCTAATTTGGAGAACTACGCATAGCAGACTTTCCCCCGCTAGGGGATGCACTCAGTTCTGGAGGTCGAGTGCCTCTGTACATAGCAGAAACATTGCTGCGCTAGATGCAAGCCTGAAGCCTGGGCTTTGTATGGCTAGGCGCTGTTGGCGGGTCGCGCGTCAGCGGCATGAGAGTGCCCGCAGAACCTGAATGCCGGATCTGCGAAAGCATTTTTGTTGCTGACCTTGGTTGTGATCGGGTCCCGTCCGTATCTAGTAATTTAGCCGCGGTCAGGCCACGGAAATACTTGCACTAGCGACCAGCTCCCTTTGTCAAAGCCCACACCTAAAGCTCCTGGAAGACTTGATTGCAACTTGCTACCACGAAGACTGAGACAGCTCCATCCTTTTTCGGCAATTCGGGAACAGGGTTGGAGAATGTTTTCTGGCAAGCCGGCGAAAAAGCTGGCTCGATGAAGGTGCACCGGTGTTTTTGAACATCTTACTAGCCTTCGCAGATATGAGCCTGTTTGTCGCAAGCCCACAGATTAAAGGCTAAGGCGCATTCTGCGAGGCCGGGGGAAGTTACAAGCAGACCTATTGGCCCCGAGGCCAGCGCGACAGAGGTGGACATGTACGATCAGCTCGCATGCCTTCTTGGCTGCTGTGTCAATCAGGACTTTGGGGTTTAACTTAGGCTTTATACATACACGACCGTGGCAGCGACAACGGAGTCATGGGAAGGCGAGCAACGGGTAGCTGTAAGTTGAGCGATCTTGGCTTGATGCTTTGTTAGTTTTGCGCCAGAATCCCTGCAACGTTTTCGTTGTAGCAGCTTTGATGCAGGATGGTCGCAGTGCAAGCATGACCGCGCCCAACGGCCCGTCGCAGCAAGCATGCATTGCGGGATCCATGCGCGAGGCAGCCATTTTAAAGCACACTTCGCACGAAGACCGTGGTGTGACCCTACAGTCCTTGCTTGAATTGATGCTCTGCTGCAGGCAGGCAACAGGGCGAGTGACATCAATCTGGCCGAGTGCCATGGCACAGGCAGACCAGCAGCCAAAAGCGACATGAATCGACATTCGTGCTTTGCCAGATGTAGCAGGCACGGCTCTTGGTGATCCTATCGAGGTTGGGGCTCTGAAGAACGTGCGCAGCCTACACACATTGCCCAGTTAGTTGAAAGTCTCTGCTTCAGATCGGAGCAGCATCTGCCCAGGTCATGCACCCCCGCGAAACTACCCTGGCATTGACCAGTTCGAAGTCCAACATCGGGCACCTCGAGGGCAGTGCCCGCGCCTCATGTCCTCCAAACCTGCTGTTGGCTGCTTTTGGTCGTCAACCTTTTCGCGTACCATTGCACCGAACAAGGCTGGCATAGCTGGCTTTCTGAAATGTGCCACGTGCTTAGGTGTCATGCATTATCCTTTGGTTACGCCGCCTGCACAGCTTGCTCCGAGGTTCTCATGCTGATGGCCGGAACATGTCCGCCAAATGCACATCTTTATCAGTCAGATGCCGAGCAAGGGTGTCCGGACAAACACCCTCATGCCAAGGATGTTATCTGTACAGCCAGATGTTGCCGTAGGAATTCCTACGGTGCATGCCACCGGCAGCTTAACCAACCTGTTGTAACTAACTAGCTGTAGCAAGTCAAGAAGTGTAGCAAAAAGCTTGGAAGTCCAAGCGGTGCAGCGGGATTGATCCATGGCGTCCACTTCGCAGAAACTCTCGCTCTCGGGTTCGTTGTTGCGTGCTTGGTCTATGTTTTTGACTTCCCAAACAGTCAGACTTTGGCCTTGAGAATCCACAGGCGGCAGTACATGGCTTTAGTATTTGGAGCTGGCCCCATGAAAATATGCCTGGATGCACGGCGGAAGGATTGCTTAGAAGGCCCAGTCAGCAGGCGATGAAGATTGAAATGCCAAGATGTGCCGCCAGGTTGAACCCTCACCTGGACGTTAAAGGCTTCCCATGCCTCTTTGACACAGAGGCCCCGTACATTGCAATTGCACTCTGTGTCTTCCACTGTTGAAATTGATGCCGTGATCTTCTGTGTTGTGGTTTGCAGCAGCACAGTCTCCCAACTGCATCTCACCGGCAAAAAAAAAGCCGAAGAAAACCTCGCCATGGCGACGAACACGATCATGACCTCGCATGAGACCCTCGGCTGGGCATGCAGAATTCGAGATCTAGACTTGTACAAATGTATGCTGCGTTTTGGGAGGCAAGCGAACATGTCCGAATTCAGGACCATGTCCATGATCTCGGACGACAAGCTTGTCCGGACACCGGTGTGGCAATCGGTTCGAGAGGTCCAACTTCGCCCTGATGCATTTGTTCAGAAGCAGAGTGCCTCGGAGGATACAGTTTCGAGCATGCTTGGACGCTGGTGTGCATGACTAGGAGCAGTTACGTCTTGCGATAGAGGTGAGCCGCAGACCCAAGACCATTCCCTGGACAAGGACGCCAAGTCGGAGGAGGAAAGACCTGGAAAGCTTCAAATACCTGTCAGAGGAGTCGGCAGCAGTGATACAAATCTGTTTGATTGTCGAGGTGGTGATTGAGAGCGAGTCCGACGAAGTCTGCCCCTGGCCTTTATGAGGTTCTTGTTTGCAGGTGAAGCCAGTACTGGGCCAGTACGCTCGACATCTCAAACTTAGGTGTGTGCTGGTGGGAGACCCCTGTTCCGCGTGATCGCAAGCTTACGCGAGCTGTCACTGGACTGTCCGTGGGTGCTCTTGTCTGGTAAAATTTACGCATGACTTAAGACTGAGCTGCGCACAGCACACTATAATAGTTTTGATGTTGCTGTGATCTCCCACACTGATTCGACAGTGCTGAAGACGAGCTAGTTAAAGCTGCACCGTATCAAGTGCCGGCGTGTGAGCGCAGACCTGTTGTCACCCCGGCCTTGTCATGCATGGTGCGGATTTTTCGATGTTCGCTATGCATGCGGCGCGAGTCTTTGAATCTTCGCCTGACATGTTCCTTTCTTAATGCCAAAGTTGAGCATGCAACCTTTAGTTTCTCGGGCGCACAGGCTTCCGGAAGTCTTTCCAAGAGAGGTGCACATTGCTGGCCCATGCCCTTGTGCACGGAGCTCATGCAGAGCGTGCCCGTTGACAGCCCCTGCCATCGCACAGAGGTTGTCGAGGGCACTTTGGACAAGTGGGATTTGCTGAATGGCTGCTCAAAGCAGACGCCAGCAGGATTTCACGAGAGTCCCAGTTGATGTTATCGACGAAAGACACGAAAGACATCCGAGCGCTTGTGCACAGTAACGAGATATGTTTTCATGCTGGTCAGCAATGCGATGTGCATCAGGCAATCGACCCCGGACTCAACAGCGCTTTAACAGGCCTCGGTTCTGCAAGACTCGAGTCCGAGTTGCGAGAGCGTAACATCAAAACAGGATTGATGTTGCTTGAAGGCGTTTCGTCCTTCGGTTTCGGTGGAACCAACGGCCGTTGTGACATCTGGGGGGCAGCGAGGCCCATTCCGGTCGGTTCAACATGTCTGGTTCGGTGGAAGATTGCAGCCCTGCTTCCTTACCGGTTTGACAGGTTTGGGCCCAACAAGTGTGGGAAGGTCATGGAAGCGGAAGTAGACCAAATCTACACCCTGTGCCTGGGTCCCGGCACTGTTGCTCGTCGTGCGAAGTTGGGTGCAACCGAATCGCCATGGAGCATACCCAAATTGGGTTTCTCGCAGACCGGGAGGTCCAGTCACGTTGGGCAAGATTGACCACTTGACGGGCGAGCCTCTGTCACGGCGTCTCGCAGCAATGCGCAGGACGGGCCTGCATGCCCGGAGGATGTAGACAAGAAAGGCTTTTTTTTACCAGTTCACCGGTCAGCTATGAGTTGTGCTGGCTACATGCTGTACCGTGTCTCGAAAACAGAATTCTAGTGATTCTAGTGATTCTAGTTAGCGGATGAAGATGCATCTGTGGCTGTCGCAATTGTGGCACGGTTTTGGTCCTGTTCGTACCAGACCCCGCATCATCGCCACACATGTCAGGGGCAAGAGGAGAGCTGACGTTCTTCGAGATGAGCTCGCAAGATACGATGTGTCACGGCCAGTTCCCCAGCAAATCTTCCTGAACGCTTCTGGTAGGTGGCACAATGGCATTACCGAAAGCTTACTTTCCCTACACTTCTGCGTCCATTCATTCCGTGATGTCTTCTGGCATCCAATCTGCCTTCAGATGTGGGGGGTGAAAGGTACGATTGCATTTTACGTCTTCCAGCATTGAGTGACTTGACGCGGTGCACTGGTGTAGGCTTCCTGTCCCGGCTGTACTGCCGGCACAGGAGCTTTTCGCTGCGGTCGGTTGGGCAAGCGGTGTGCACGCCAAGTCTTAAGCCGTAAGCCGTAACCAGTCCCCTACAACTGCACCCACATGCTTGCTTGCGCATGTGACCAGGTTGTTCCTTCGCCCGCCAACCCCACCTGTGCCAATGAAACACACGGCCTGCTGTCTACCGTGCTGGTCCGCCCATTGGCGCTTATTCAGGGTCAGAGATTTTCAGACAACCACACTAGCGATGCCTTTGCTTCGCAAAACTCTTGGTTCGTGCTGCGCTCCTTCCATGACATGAGGTCGGTCAGAAGGGGCTTGAGAGACGATGGGCTTGCAGGGGAGAAAGGACTCAAATGGTCATGCAGCAGCTCATGAAAGTATTGGGACGTTTGCAAGTATGTGTAACAGGCGAACATTCACTTCTAAACTCGTGTGTCCCACATGCGATGTGGCAACTGCTCGTAGGTGATCGCTTAATGGAGTGTCCCGGCCGGATTTCTTAAGTAGAATTTTGGTCGCTGGGCTTTGCAGACGACGCCACGACGTCGATAACCACACCACAAGCCAATTGCCTGGTGACGACCGGAGGAGAAGGGACACTGCGAGACATCTACAGCGAAGCTGACCGTGCGCCTCGTGACCTAGATACTCCGGCTCAGTTCAAAAAACTCTCTTGCCTTGCGACACCGAAGCGTTGCCCCATTCTAGTACGATCAGGGGACCATCGAGGAGGTCAGAGCCGCGCAGCGACAGTCAGTAGGACCCGTAAAGAAGTCAGAGCTGTGAAGTATGAAAATTTGGTGAACTTGTGGACGTACAACTCAACGCACAGTGCATAGTCCTTTGTGCAAGCATACATGTTTCTTGGCATTGGTCCATTGGACCTCGGAGCAGCATGGGCTGGCAACCCACTTGATGCGGCCTCGCTGAAGCTAGGTTTCCGAAAATTATGAAAACAGTGGAGACCAGAAGCCGATATGACACTCAAATACACTCAATAAGAAGATAATGTGAAAATGCCCACGAAAAAGCTGCGACGTACAAGAAACAACAATGCTATTTTTATCATATTTCTAGCAGCTAGCATTTTTCCTAGAGCTCGCCAAAATTCCTGATTTCGGCAAGCCGCGAGGGAGCACCGGACAGGACCACAAATTTCATGGCAAGCGGCCGGAATGGGGAATTTTTGAACGCTCGGAAACGCAAAGATTAAACACAATCTGAAAATTTCGATGGAACGTTTGGAGAACACCGAAACACATACAAATCATAATCGCTTAACGCAAACCACCTTTTTCATATTGCTACACCCCAACCAAATCTAACAAAAGATGGTGGCTACTACGCTACTGAAACCCTGCCATGCGGGCTTGTTTTTGCGAATTTGGAGGCAAACAGTAATACCTGCGAAGTTGCTTGTCGCCAACTAGAAAAGGTACTGCCTATCCATGCGAGAGGGAAAATTCCCTGCCTGTCACCCCAGCCTGGGTTTAAGGTCGGTGCTAGCCGGTACTCGCACATACTCTCCCTGTGAAAGCACGGACGATGTTCCTGAAAGTCGCTTAGTACGGACTGAGTCGTGGTCAGTATCTGATGGTCACGCTTTCGTGACGGCACTTTAATTGATTTATCTAGCTTAAAAAATTCTGTTAACATTCGCGAAACATGCGAGTCCATCGACATTTTGCTTCATTCACTTTCATAAGTTCTTGGAGAGTTTTCCGGACTTGCCTGATGCCAGTTTATCCTGCTGCAAGGAAAGCCACGTACACTAGGTGAGTGGCACAACCATCAAGTACTGGCACAATATCCTCTATATGTTGTTTTTCTGTTGTCGCGCGCATGGTGGGATGTCGTCACAATCTGTCGAGACCTGTGCAAAACTTTCCGAAAGCCTTACATCATTCTGCATTTTCCATCAACCTTCATAACAGTTCGTTTCATGAGATTCTTGAAGCAGCTGGTATCTTGTCATCTATGTTTGCATGGGGGAGACGGGGGCGGCATCAACGATAGCAGTAGCGGCAAACCAGTCGTGAGAGCAAGTACTTCCCATCCACCTGGAAAGATGTGTATGCAGGACTCCGGGACTTGTTCATGTTTCCCCAGCGTGTTCTGGTTGCTTTTGGCCGCACAGCTCACCTGTATTCGGTTCTCTGACAGGCTTGCATATGATGGCGGGTTCCGTTATCGACAGAACCCGGTCCCGTCACATGGCGAAGACGACCTCTTGCCCGCGTCCTACGACTGTCTGCAGCTTTACTTGCGAAGGCTTCTGGCCTCTCGGCCACGTTGTAAAGCGCCGCAGCAGCGTAACCCGAGCCTTTACAGAAGTAATATATCTCGCTGCGTGCTTGCCTCCGTGCAATACTCTGAATGGACTGGAGGCAGGACAGGAACATCTTCATCTGCGGGTCGTGGACTGGGTTCAAGATGGAGGCATCGCTGAAATGAGCTGATGTTGATGGGCGCCGAAAACAGCAGCAGGAAATGGACAAAGATGGGGACAACCTGATCGGGCCTCGTTTCTTCTTCCGGATTTTTCATGTCGCAGTGTTCAGATTCTGTGAAAGGCTCCCTCCCTCCCTCCCTCCCCCCCTTCCCCTGCATCCTGAGGTTCACCACAGTCATCACCCTTAGCGAAGAGAGGCCAGCTGGTTGCTGTGCAAGACATATCCACGTCCTCTCTCCGACCGTTCTGCAGGTATGACTTGTTCGAGTTGTATGTGGATGAGAAGGAAGAGTGTCAGGCTCAGTTCACGCCGAGTATGCTGGCAATGCTCAGCATATTTTGGATCAGTCTGATCAGTCTAAGGCTCTGCATTTTTCCGGCAGTTGATCGTGCTGGGCAGCACATTGCCACTGAAGGGCCTGGGGTCTGGAACTAAGCTTTCTCGCAGCCTCTCGCACGAGAGTGAGCGTGTATTGTTCGGAGCGGTTTCGCAAGGGCCGTATACGAAGAAACTCCTGAAGGTTTCACGGTTCACGCTCAGCAGGTGTGCAGAAGCTGGTGCCTCCGAGCTACTCGAGCCAGCGCACCTATAGGGAATACATGATGATGCATGTACCAACTGAGACTACGCCTGTGTGTGTACTGGAAGGTCCGGCCCCATGCGGCCTGCCATTGTATGCTTTGTGTATATAGCAAGACGCAGCAGCATAACCCCTGTCCCATGTTCGTCGGGCATGGCGCGAGCTGTTGCGACGAAGATTCAGGACAGTGAAGATCAGCCAGGGCATCAGCCAGTAGTACCATCATCACCGTCACTGCAGCCGCAGCAGCTTGCTCTGCACTCGCCGTCCATTGTTGCTTTTGCATTCTGGCATGTGGCAACTCCGACAGCTTTTCTGCATGAACCTGGGCGTTTGTATTGTGGTTGTGTTGGCCATCACCGAGCCTGGGCCAGCGGCTTTCAGACGGCGGCCATGTTTCCGGAGAGAGGCGTGGGAATCGTGCGTCAGCACCCGCGAGATAATGGCTGTGAGCATCAGGTCTTCGTGCACTTCACACGTGCTGTTTCAAGGGTTGAGGGGCGGCTTTCGCTGTGCAGCGGAAGATTACGGTTGTTTCTCAGCCACTGGCCCTCAACTTCAGCGCTTGTGGCAGTGGCAAGCTTCATCCGGTACTTTCCATCTGTGCGCTTGGAGATTCACTACGATTCAGCATTGCACGACTGGCCTGGAAAAAAGGACCCATCGGAATGCTTGGACACTTCGGTGTGTGTGTGTGTGGAGTTCGGATAGGTGTCCCAAGTCAGGTCAACAAGGAGCACAACAGATGGATCATTGACGGCCGCGACACAGAGCTTGCTGCAGGAACTGTCTTCCCGGCCTGTGCAATTAACACAGCTTTCTGCGGGACCGTCTTCTTTTGGCCGACGAAAGTATCTATGTAATATTGTGTAATAAGTCCTGTTGTCCTCAAACCAGGTATTGCAGATAACATTCAACTTCAGTCTCGCACTCAGTTGAAGCAGCAGTAGCTGGGACTGCCGGCCGCAAACATCACCTTTGCCGCCGCCAAGATCCAGAGCAGATGGCCGTGACATGGAGGGAAGTCGGCGAGAAGCACTCAACACAGATTTTGAGTGACTTTATGTCAGCCTGCCAGTCGGCAGGTTCCAGCGAGGTTGATGTTCACAAGCGATTGATGACGGTTGACGTTTGTCGATGCCATTTGGCTCGAGCAGGAAGATACTTATGGCCCACGCGACCGAGCAATGATGTCGGACAGCCTGACAGTGGTTTCACTCCCAGACAGCCTTATGTTAAACCTCCAGCATTGCCAAGTAAGCGCTCCCCAATATTCCGCCAGCCTCACGGCGCAGAAGCAGAACAGGGGAAGATTCCCAGTGAAAACCCAGCCGAATGTCTTGAGCTGCGATCGGCCGGAGGTCCAGGCCATGGGCCGTGCCCCGCATGAATAGAAGTTGTTTGGCGGGCGTAGGACCGCAGGAACGAGGCAGGAGACGTTCAGAAACCTGGAGCGCTTCCCGAGGAAAGAGCAGATCCAGCAGCAGCTCCGGGGGCAAAAAGCGAAGCCGCAGCGGTCGTGAAAAGGAGCAGCGGTGCTAGCAGACTCTCTCGGGAATGCGGCTTCAGGGTCTGATAACTTGAGCCTGAACATGGGGATGGCCCCATGATTTCCAAGGTTCCGCTTCCAATCAGCCTTGCAGGAAAAGGCCAAGACCAAGAAGGACGCGAAGAAAGACAAAAAGAAGGCAAGCAGCCAGAACACCGGTGCTGGATACACGCCTTCGGCTTTCCCTGTCAGCGAGGAAAAAGACAAGGATAAAGATCGAAAAGATAAAGATGCAGAAAAAGAAAAGGAGAAGGCCAGGGAGAAAGAGAAAGCAAAAGAGAAAGAAAAAGAGAAGGAGAAGGAAAAGGACAGAGACAAGGAGAAAGTAAAGGACAAAGACAAGGACAAAGATAAGGACAAGGACAAGGATCGAGATAAAGACAAAGATAAAGACAAAGAGAAGGCCAAAGATAAGTCCAAGAAGGACAAAGACAAGGACAAGGATAGAGAAAAGGACAAGGACCGAGAAAAGGAAAAAGATAAGGCCCGTGAGAAGGACAAGGAACACCACGGTAAAGACAAGGACAAGGAGAAAGATCGCGACGCTCGGCTTGACATTCGCTTGATTCGCTTGCTGACATGCTACACTGCAATGCTGTTTGAGCAGTGGCTAAGACTGCATGGAAGAACTGCGACTGTTCGTGGTGTAAAAGCGAAGCTTCTATCACCCAGTGAAATCAAGGACAGGGATCGGGAAAGAGGCCGTCGACGCAGTACTTCTTCTGACTCAAGTAGCTTGCCTGATCGATTGGCTTCCTGCTCAAGCCACCCGGTGATGATACGCTCAGGTACTTCTGCCAGCAGCGATATGGGCCGGCGCATTTGGCCGATGGCTGTAGGTCTGGGCACGAGCAGCTTCCAGCTTCTGCCGCCCATGCTCCTTCCTTGGATCTTGAGACGGATGGAGGGGTGCATGTGACCTTCTGACGAGAGCAAAGGATCGTTATCATTCAAACTTGCTTTAGAGCCCAGGGAAAGGCATGGAAAGGCACATGCATCAAGTGGTCTCGCTGCTGAAACGACACTTGAATGATAGACATTGTCGCACGGTGGTGCACCTTATGGCCGACGGCTTGTAATTGCGTCAGCCTGCATTTGCGTCTAACAAAACACCACATCGTGGGGTCTGTGCGATACATGGCGAGAGCGAGAGAAAGTGAATGAATGCATTTGGGAAGCCATATGGGGCGCGGGGAAGAGGCCGGGGTTGTGTTCGTGTTTAGCGTCAGGGGTCGGGGGGCTGCTCCCTCTTTTGCAGCACTGCCGAGAGACACCAAGGCCGCCCACTCAATAACACATTGGGTGGTGGGGCGGGCAGAAGGCCTGAGCGTCGCCAGACGACGAGAAAGCAAGAGACAGGAGGGGACGCACTAGCGCGCGGTGGGCGGCCTCACCACAGCCTTGGCGAAAGAAAGAGAGAGAGAGAGAGAGAGAGTCAATTACTAGGTAACCTTGACAAGTTGTGTAGTTGTGGGCTGTGTCCCTTAGTGCTGCTTCTGTCCTTTTTAGGCGAGCACTCCATTGGTGGTGCATGCAAAATCAACCTTTGGCACCCACAACAGGTGGGGGCGCACTCGCGCGCGGTGGGGAGGCAACTCCCCACCACAGCCCTATGGAAAGAAAGAGAGAGAGTCAGGAAACCGGGGGCCAATTGCGTCCTCTTCTGCCTCAGTCAGTGGGACCCCAATGCCGTCCACTCACTAACACAGGGGGTGGGTGGGCGGGCCAATGGCCTGAGGGTCGAGCGATCGACCCCTACGCCCTGCAGAAAGAAAGAAAGAAGTCAGGTCTCTCCGGAAGGGGCCATTCAGACGTTCGGCCTTCGGGCCAGGGAACCCCTCGATTCCCATACCCCTTAGTAAGCAAGCAAGAGAGAGAGAGAGAGAGAGAGAGAGAGAGAGAGAGAGAGCGGGGAGGGCGGGGACCCGCTTTCCTCTAGCTGTGCTGAAGAAGAGAGAGAGGACTGCTCTTGGTCTTGAGTCTTGACCCCAAGCAAAGCAAAGAGGCATATTTTTGGTTGACCAAAGCCAAGGCCACCTAGTCGAATTGACCAACGGCCACAACCCACTATGCGAGAGCCACAGAGGGACCGAGCCTGAGCCAGAGCCGTCCAGGGGACCCACAACAACCACCACGACCACCAGAGCACCAACAACGAGCGACCAACCCTACCACTGGAAGGGGTCACCTTCCAAGCGTTCCCGTACACGCCGTCTATGCAGCCGGAAGACCCAGCAGCCACCGCAGCGGAGGAACCAAGCCCCAAGAGAAGACGCAAGACAGAGAGTGCAGCGGACCGGACGGAGCCAGAGCCCAACCCGTACATGGTGCTCTGAGCGGCTCAACTTTTACCTGCACACTTCAAAAGCCAAGGAACAGGGTAGAACTGAGCTCAACGGCAAGGGGACCCTCAGTGCATTTTACCCTCATCTTGTTGGGTAACCTTTGCCCATGCTTCCTCCAACCCAAAGGAGGCCGCACGGGCTGGGCCCACCTCCGAAGCTGGGGGTTTTGGGGCAGGCACGTTCAATTCAATCGCCGAAAGTGGATCAGCTCCTTTTGCGAGAGTGCTTCTATGCATTTTCTTGGGAGGCCCGAAACTGCGGCACACTGCAATTGTCGAAGCTTCGGCCACGTTTGGTGTGAGCCGCATGCGTATCTTGCGGTCAAACCTTGAAACTGCTAAGCAGACCGAAGAAGTCGCTGCCACCTCAAGTACATGATAAATTCTCTCTGCGTTTCGCGTCGCAGCTTCAGCCTACAAGAGCCACCGCAGCAGGAACAGAAACAGGGCACACGCAAACAACACGGCGAAAGAAGACCCTGCGTCCGATCTGTCGCACTCGCAGCCTGAACCTTTTGATGCCTTCTGCATGCCACCACAGCGCCCATACCTGCACAAACCACAAACATGTAACTCTACTGTGAGGTTGGACGGAAGCCTCGCCTGCTTTGTCGAGAGTGAGTGCTAAAAAAACTCTACTGTGAAATGGGCTCCACGAAAGCGAGTTCCCGTTTTCGTCATTCTAGAGAGCACCTTGATAGAAGTTCGCAGGCATTTTTCCTGCGACCTAGGCTTGAGCTGGTCGATGTTACCCTGGAGCCAGCTGCCGAGCTGCCTGTGCCAACGCCGGCGCCAGTTACTGTGCCAGCAGCACCGGCGCCTCCTCCAGTTGTGGGCTTTTCGCTGCTCGACTTGCAAGAAGTATTTAAACAAGTTACAGAACTTCCTGCCGCGTGACTTCGCAGGACAGCGATGACAGAAACTGTAATGCTTCATCTTGCCATGCCCTAGCAGCTAACATAGTCGAAACGCCCAACGAGGTCCGGCTTTGCGGATAGGTTCAGGCTGGGAAACTTACACTCTTGATGCAATTGCTTGCTGAAGTGCAGACTCACGGAGTTGGCTGGTTCTGCAGGTCGACCGGTGCAACCGCTCAAGCACTGGCCAGGCAGCAGCCCATGACAGGGCAGGCCTTGGCGCAACAGCAAGGAAAGCAGCAGGTGGCTCTCTTACGCTGGCTGCCTCCACTCAATTCAATTCAGCTTGAAAGCGTAGAGCCGTGTGGTGGTGAGCAGCGATGATGCTGGTGGTCAAGGTACCACATTTACAACTAGTAGTACGGCAGTACCGCTCGGAGTTGTATGTAGGGTGGGACGGGGTGCCTTGACGTGGGGGTGGGGCAAAGTCCTAGCTCTTTGGGCCTTCACGCCCATCCAAGGGCGACCCCAAGGCTATCTATGGGTGGTGCTGACGATGCGGCTAATGTTGCTGTGAGCTGCTCTTGTTGCAACGGCTGCTATTACGTCCGGTGGAGGAGGGGTGTATTACAACTCGCTGGTGCTTGTCGTAATTGATGCTCTGTTGGAGAGGGTGCATGCGTTGCGGACAGTTGTATGAAGCGCATGTGTGGTTATTCCTGTTGAGACACATGTGCAAAGCAGCCCTTATCCTAGCCTGGGAAACCTGGCCAAATCCATGCCAAAGTCTGGGGCGGGCTCGCATGGCAGCCATTTGAACAACACATGCGCTTCAAGTGAAGCGACCTCTGATGTTTCTCAAAACCCGGCTTTCTGCAACCCTTCCCGCTACGGCCATCAAGAGGTAACCGTTTGAGTCTTCAGCCTTCCTCAAACACATCACATCCGGAAAATGTGCAGTGTTGCATGTTGGATGACAGCCCGAACCTCACCGTTGTAAAGTCTCAGGGGCGTTAACCGTTCCGCTTCTTTCTGGTTGTGGTCCTGGTGGTTTTGGTGGTGGTTGGTGATTAGTGATCAGTTGGTGGTTGATGAACGGTTGGCGGTTGGTGGTTGTCTGCCTGTTTGTTTGTCTGCCCGTCTGTGGAAGGGTCGATCGGTCGGTCTGTCAGTCCGTCCGACTGTCGGTCTGTCGGTCTGTCGGTCTGTCGGTCTGTCGGTCTGTCGGTCTGTCGGTCTGTCGGTCTGTCGGTCTGTCTGTCTGTCTGTCTGTCTGTCTGTCTGTCTGTCTATCTGTCCATCTTTCGTTCATGTAGTTGCTGTTGCTGCTATTGGTTGTTGTTAGTTCCTGCTGCTCTGCTGATAGTGTCGCTGCTGTTGCTTTTTGGCGAATGTACATGGCGGTTAGTGGCTTGGTGAATGCCGAGTTTTTACTACGAAAAGGGGGTGCTCTCCATACCCCAGGTGTCTACGTAGTGGAATCCCGCCTGCAGCTACGGCCCAGAGCAGAGCTTCTTGTCTTTGCATGCAGGTTGTCCCGGCTTCCAGCATGCAGCCGCTTGTCGTTGGCTTCTCGTAGCCTGACAGTTGACGACGCCTTTGTGCTGCTGATTGTGTTATTGCTTTTGGTTGCTGGTGGTGGTGCTGCTGCTCTATTTACTGCAAAGCCGCTGCTTGCAGTGCTACTGCAAAGCTTGTCAATCCTGAATTCATGAAAGCGTGTGGCCATGCGGAGTTCCGGAACAACTGTTCAGGCACAGCGCAGTTGCAAACCGCACAGCCTGTGCCACCCGGATGGTGGCCACATGCATGACATTTTTCCAGACATGTTGAACGGGAACCTCCTGCAAGCACTCAGATCGCCACGGATGCTTTTGCAGTCGGCAGGTTTGCTTCAATTACACGGGCGGCAAATGCTTTCGAGCCGACTGCCGCTTCCTCCACATCGGCCCGGGTCCGAGGCTGTCCTGACAGCCCCATCAAGTGGAAAGCTGCCGAAATACATATATGACCGTCGAAGCTATGCTGTGTGATCCTTGTCAGCATGTCAAAGATCCGACACCTGATGCTCCTTGCCAGGTAGCCAGCATGGTCGGGGTTGCCAAGGCTTGCAGAGCCCCGGCTGCATTAGCTTCGAAGCTACCTTCCGCAACAAATGTTTGTTTTGATTTTCGGTACTTGGAACCTTGCCTCATCGTTCTCGCTGAGATTCTCCGGCACAGTTACGATGGCAACGCAGGCGCTGTGTGCACAGGTACGTGCAGCTCGTCGTCTGGCTTGAAGCCGAAAAGAGCAAGAAGGGACCAGTGCCCGCGAATGACGAGAGCAGCAGCTCCTTTTTGGCCGGCATGTCGGCAGATCAACCAGAGTCCAAGAATTTCGTATAAAGATACGTTGATGACAAAGTTTCAAAGTGAAGGCAAAGTGCTCGCTTAGTTGATCTGTATGGAGAAAGAAAAACGAAGATGTGCCACCGGCCTTGGCTGAAAAGCGTGCGACAAAGATAGTCTTTGGCACACCACCTGCACGTTTGGCTGCAGCTGCGCATTCCGTTTCACTGCAGAGACGTATACTACATTTAGACGAAAAGACGTCTGCTGCCTTGAGTCTCCACGGGTCCACGTGCGGTCTGTAAGTCTGGCAGCACCATCTCAAGTTCGACGGTAAATACTCGTAGGTGTTGATGCAAGGAAGAGTGGCAGCAGACAGGAATTTGCTGAGGCGGCGAGTTTTGGCTGCACCCCGGAAGAGCAGCTACTTCGCCGCTTCCTTACTGCACGCGAGCAACGCCGCGGCGCAGCCTTGGACCCCTGGAAGCCCATCAGCCCAGGTCACCGGAACTTGCACAAAGTGGCGGACGGTGGCAGGGCACCAAAGTCAAAGTCCATCGAAGGTCCGGATAAAGGTGCCGAGTCGTCAAATCAGTTGTCAGGCGCTAAAGTGTGCAGACGAAGCGAACCTACAGGAGTGGTCTGGGGTGCTCAGGCCTGCCGCCTCGCATCCGACTGTCGCAAGTTACTGTCGCGTGTCGAGCGACTTGAGCGACTTTGATACCCGGGCCGATTCCGGCACTCTTTCTACATTACAAGGTTCGAGCATTCTTTTCTTGGCCTGTGGCCTGCCGGGGTCATGGCTTCCTCAGTCCAACAAGATTTCCTGCGAAGTCTCCTGAAGATCGGGCTTACGCACGAATACAGTGACATAACAGTTGTCTGCTTGCACAACAACTGCCGAGAGGAAGTGCGGATGTCGAAACTGCTGCTTGCAACTGCTTGCCCAAGTCTACAGGCGCAGCTGAGGCACCGCAACGAAGTCGTTTTGCCGCTGGCTGCTTCTACTTTGAAAGCGGCGCTTTTTTTGTCATGTGGCTTGGCATTGGACGAATGTGATCCCAGAGTCGATGTCGACAGTTTGCTGGCAGCCACTGCTGTCTTGAATCTGAACGTGCCACAGCTCGGCCAGCCCCAAGCGCTTACATCCTCCAGCATGAGACAAAGGCTAACGCATCGGTTTTTGAACTCTGAAGGGGCAGATTGGGCTTTATATACATTGCTTTGCATGACAGTCCTGGCGGCATGGGTGCCGTCGATCCATTACACGATGGAAAGTTTCTTTATGGATGATTCGATGATCGCCAGGAATCCGAATGTCTACACGGACCTTGATTTTCGTCGCTTGTTCCGCACGGATTACTGGGGCCTTGACATGTTCGCAGGCACCTGGACACACAAGTCGTTCAGGCCACTCACTGTGCTGACGTTTCGATGGAATTACTTGTTGCACGGATTTCACTCTGCAGGCTTCCACACCACGAACTTATGCCTTCATTTGCTTTGTAGTGGATTCCTGGGTAAAGTTGGCACCCATGCAGGCTTGACCCGTCAATGGGCGGGTCTCCTGGCTTTGCTTTTCTGTGCTCACCCTGTTCACACTGAGAGTGTGTTGTACATTGTTGGGCGGGCAGACTTGCTTTGCTTACTTCTGATTCTTGCTGCTACTTTGGTGCACTCCGCCTGTGGTACAGCTTGCGGAGGTTTTGTGCGGAACTTGGTCAACCTTCTTGGGATGACTTTATCGTGTGGACTGCTTATTGCTGCAGGCCTGTGCAAAGAAACAGGCTTCTGCTTCTTTGGCCTGCTCATTGGGTGGGATATTCTCCGTCTTGCAGGTGTGGCAAAGCCAAGAGCCTGGCTGCGGATGCGAACGATGCTATTGCTGCTTGTCGGCTCTCTGTCCTGTGCCTTTCGCGTCTGGTTGACAGGAACAACGATTGAGCGAATGGATCCACACAGCAACCCTGTCGCGGCAGCAGGGAATGGGAGCGTGCGAGTTCTTTCATATGCTTTGGTGCCTGGTATCTATGGGAAGCTTCTTGCCTGGCCAGCGCATCTATGCTACGACTACTCTTATGATGCAGTGCCACTAGTGCGAAGCTTTTCCGATGTTCGCCTGCTGCTGCCTTTGGCCGCGTACGCGTCATTTGCTCAGATGTTGACTGTTGCCACGATTCGGTTCCGGCACAGTGCCTTCAAGAACGCAGCATTCGAAGCTCCGCTTCTGGGTATTGCAATCTTTGTTTTGGGTTTCGTCCCAATGTCCAACATGTTGTTCCCAGTTGGGACGATGATTGCCGAACGCCTGCTGTACATACCCTCTGCTGGACTTCTCCTGACGCTTTGCGGCTTTGCTCAGCAGTTCTCTGCAACACTGCCGAAACTTGCAGCAGTTATCATCTGCATCCTTCATGCCCAGCTCACAGCACAGCGAGTACTGGAATGGTCAAGCCCAGAGTCCATCACCGTAGCAGATGCTGCAAAGCAGCGGCGCTCTGTGCGTGTTCAATACAATTTCGGTGCTCATCTTCTATCTGCACAGAGATATGACGAGGCTCTCAGTGCTTTTCGACTGGTGATGGAGATCGATCCCACCGACAGGGACTGCATGCCGCTTTATCGTGCCGGGCAGATCCATTTCTACCAAAGGCGTTATGCAGTCGCTGAGCAGCTTCTTGAAAAGGCAGTTCAAGGACAGTTTAGTCCATTGATACTCAATGAGGAGGAGGTGTTCCACGACTATGCTCTGGCTCTCTGGTTCATGGAAAAGCCACATGATGCTGTGATGAATTTCGAAAAGAGCTTGGCAATCAACTCAACCTTCACCAAGGGGCTGAACAACCTCGGCTGTGCTTTGGGGCTGGGTGCGCTTTTTGGCCGGTTGCCTTCGGAAGCTATGCACTACGGCATTGACCAACTGCAACAGGCAGTCGTTTTGAATCCACGGAGCCTACTGTACTGGCGCAACCTCGTGGCTCTTCTTCGGTTCGCAGAAGAGGAAGACATAGCTAATCGTGCCTGGGAGGAAGTGTTGACCCTGGATCCCACTGGAAGCCTGCCCGAAGATTGTAGCTGGGAGTTCGCACTTCGGTGAGGGCTTTGCTGTGTGAAGAAGCATAGACCTGGCTATTGCCGATGGCAAAAGTTGCATTGTTGCATCGCCGGTGGAGAGTAGTCATGGGCCATGATTAAAAGGAGGCGACTATCTGCTTCAAGACAGGTATAATGAAAGACCAAGTGTGAAGCACAGTCGGATTGCGGTGACTTGCGCCTAGCAGGCCTAGCACTCTGCCAGGATCGGACAAAGAGGCCGTGAAGACTTTCAGATATGGCGGGATGGCGACCGGCTACAGGCAGGATGAGATAGCCTGGACAGAAAAACGGGTTTAATGCTAGCAGAAGAATTGATTTTTGAGGCCGTCTACCCGTCAGCACCGCAAGCCACCGGAACTGGTGAAGAGGCTGGCCCTTGCCATTTCCGGGTCAGTTTGGAACCTTTTCAAGCATCATGTATGTGTAATGCCAGGCGTGCGGGCCTGATGAATTTGGAAGCGGTCGTTACTTCCAGGCGCAGCAGCCAGGTAGTCAGAAGGACTGAACCAGTGGATGCTTGCTTGGGTGGGCGCGGGATTCAAGATGCCCCCTTGTTCTATTTGAGTGTCGACAAAGTTTTGATTCTCTTGTATTTCCCAGCTTACTCGGGGTCCTTACTGTAGAGACTCCACACAGGTCCCGAGAAGGCCTTCCGTTGCTGCTTTCATACACTCGAAATTCCGTATTGGTGGGCTCTTAAATACGCCACCTATGGCTCGGCAAACAACAAACCAAACATGCCTATGCCGGGCGAGGGGCCCACAGATTTCAGCCGAACCAATTGTGTCTTGTGGTAAAAGCCCGATTCTCGTAAATCTTCGCGTTTACATATCGAAACCTGAAACCTCTGCCTTTTGATGAAAACCAAAGTAAATCTTAAATCCGCGCCCGGCGCTTGGGCGGGCACATGGGATTACAGAGCCCTGCCTCTGCCCCAGAAAAAAAGCCCAACCCTTCTTGAAGAAGGCCTCTAGTCCGGGGCATGAATCAAAAGGAGAGCAATGGCACTGCTGAGAGAATCGCTGGCAATGCAGTGTCGTGCAAGGCTCCACGGCTCAGCGCTCGGGTTCACGAAAGAGAGACGGACGAAACGAACGCATAGAAGAGCAAGCAAAACAAAGGCAAGTCCGAGCCCCAAAGCTGCATACAACGATAGCATGACAGAAAGAAGGAAAGAGGCAAACTCAGGCAGAGTCAGCTCAATGCTTTGCAGGTAAGGGGCCGTCCTGGCGAAGAGGTTCCGCCATTCTTCAGATCTATCGATTCCCTCCCATGTTTGCTGTCGACATGGCAGGTTGAGCTGGCACTCTATATCGAAGACGGCAAGGTGACGCTCCTGGAGCACTCAGAGCCATGCTTTTCTGCCTTCAGGCTTGCAGGCCGCAAGTCCTTGACTTCATGTGTTGCAGGTCACGGTTCGAACGTTCACCGTCGAATCCAGACGTTCCAGGCTCACCCCCCATCCCACTCTTTTTTGCCTGACCCTATCGCTTGGAAGCGAGGCAGTGGGAATCTGTCCGTGGATGGGTTTGGGCCTCGGTCGGAGTTTCGAGGAATCGTGCATAGCGGCACATAGCAGGCGCGGCATTCCTATAGCGTCGTCCAGCCAGGAGGAGGCCGATGAACCGAATGATTTACAGATCCGAAAAAATCATTCAGCTCGGTCTTGCAAGGACCGGGCATTCCAATGACGTGGCAGCCTCGGTGCGATGAGATGGGCAGTTCCACCGCGCTTGCATCCCTCCCCTGGGCTCTATGTTTTTGAATGTAAATGTAAATGGCTACGGCTCAAGCCATGTTACCAGTCTTCACGACGCAGTTCTCATCCAGTGTCGTAAGCATGAAACATAATATGGTGCCATCATATCGATAACGTATCATCATTTTAATGCTAAGTGACCATGTCTCCCACGCCGCGACTTCAGGATTACCAGTATAGAGCGTGTTCGTGTGTGTGTATACATTATACATGTCAATGTCTAATATGCATATATATATATATATAATGATGCTAGAACATCCGCCAAGTTCATACTTTTTCAGCCACGGTCCTGATTCTTGGGCGATGAAGTTTTCCGATGTCATCAGCTTCGTGTTTGCGGCGTCCCTGGTTTTCACGACTGCTGAGCAGTGCCTGCCCAATGGTCGTCCAGAAGGGGAGCGTCTCTATGTCTTGAACAGCAGCAGCCAGATGAGTCCAATCCAGCTTGCATCACTCCAGTGGAGATCGGCAATGGTCATCAGCCTAGTAGCAGAGATCCTGATTTCAGAGATGCTCGGATAGCACGCTGTTGTGAACCAGCCCGTTATATATGCGTCTGATGAAGCAATACTACGCCTGGCAGGCTGCTGGAGCCCTGATTGCTCCGTGCAAGGTCCAATGGCCGATGTTTTGTTGAGTGTATGGCTGGATCAGGAGATGCCGTTTTTTTCAACGGTTTCGAAGAGAGAATCCTAGAGCTCCTGAAGATCTAGGTTCTATGGGCTACGTGGGAAGCGACGGCATGTATGTCAAGGGATCTGTGCTGAACCGCGCCGCCACTGATGGTCTGTCGCTGGAATTCTACAAGAGTTACAATCTCTCTTTCCATCAGCCTTATCGATATTTCGACACTCTGTGGGATTTGCCCGAGCAGGAACTCTTGAAGTGTGACGAAACCTTTAACGGAGCCCAGCTCGACACCCTGAAGTCTGATCTGATGGAGAACTATCTCGACCGGACAGGAGATGCAGAAGGGGTCATAGAAAGCAACGGCCAATACGTCGCAAATTGCATGCTACCAGCCTTTTGGATTGCGCCTGCGTGCCGACAAAACTATACCCGATGCATCCCTCTCGTGCAGCTCGGGCCGGGAATGATGCAAGTGTACATGCAGTGGTCAGTGGCCTATGGCATTCCGGTGGCACTAACGCATGCTCGTGATTTCACCTCAATAATCCAGCTGGTCCGAAACATGAACGTGCTCTACAATTGGTGGGAACCAGACGAGACCTTAGTAGACCTGCATCATTCCAAGGTCCTTCTACCAGCGCACAGCCCAAAGGCATGGTCACAGGGAGATTTCAGAACGGCTTCCACTGATGTGTACGTTGCCAAACTTGGAAGTCAAAATCTACGCACCGCAGCGCCCAGAGTGAGGGCGTTCTTACAACAGATGTCACTTGAGGCAGCTGAGCTCTTGGAGTTGAAACAGAGCATCGGCTTTGAGAGCAATATGGATGACAGGTTTGCTTTTCTGCGTCGGGGAGCTTGTCAATGGATCCGGTCTCACAGTCACATTTGGGAGCAGTGGATTCCCGTTGCCACAGATTGTACTCCAGGATTTGGGTTGGTTGACGCTCATGGCTTGCCGGTGACATCGTTGGATGAAGCAGTCGAGTGCCAAGTCTGTCCTAGAGGACGATTCTCTGAGCCGTTTGCCCACGATTCTGGGCTAACCTTCCGTTGCCAGCTCTGTGACCCCGGCTATCGTCAAAGCCGCTTTGGACAGAGCACTTGTATTGCATGTGATCCTGGCACCTTTGCAGATGTGGCTGGGCAAGCAACTTGTTCCCCTTGTGCGCGAGGGAGGTATGTGAACTCCACTGGAGCGACGGCATGTTTGTCTTGTGGACCTGAGGAAGTTTTGGACGACGAGTAAGGCTGTAGAAGATGGTGGGCAGGAGAAATGGATTGAAGTAGAAGGATCAACATCCGCAAGCTTTTGTCATTGCGTCCAAGGACGGTATTCGTCGTCGATGGGCCAATGTGAAATTTGCGTTGAGGGCTCTTCGTGCCCAGGCTCCGGAGTGTTGACACTTTTGCCTGGCTTCTACTCTACTCAGGGTAGCCCTGGTGCGGTCATGCGTTGCTTCGGCAACACGCTCCGCTGCCCTGGTGGCTTTCCAGAAACATGCGCCAATGGCAGGGACCCGGCGAGTCCCACGTGCAGCTTATGCCTTCCCGGCTTGCATCCAGCTGCTGAGGAGTGTTTGCCTTGTACAGGAGACGATTTTTTTCGCGCTTTCTGCCCTGGCCGTGCTCATCATGCTGGGAACAGCGACTCTGCACATCATGCTGGTGGCAATGGACCGCACAGGTGCATCCCATCGTGGTGCGCTGCTGAGTGCTGCATTGTGTGTGAATCAATTGATCACATGTTCTCAAGTATTCGGTGTGATGGAGCAAATACAGGGCATAGTGTGGGGGATCACTTTCTGAGCTTCCTTCAGTTCTTCCGAGTTCTGTCGCTTGACGCACTACTTAGCTCGACGAAGACACTATCCTGCGTCACTCGCATCAGCCCAGAAATGGCATTTGCGGTTCGGACTTTGATCGTGCCCGCGCTCTTCATGGTTGGACCGCTGGTGGCACAGCTGGTCATGAAAACCATATGGCTCGCCGCACAGACCATCGACCTCGTCAAGTCTTTTGGCTTCCTCTTCTTGCTCTTCTTCATCTCTTTTTGCTCCTCATTTGTCGAGCCTTTCCGGTGCAATCTGCATCCGGACGGATCGCTGACGATGCAAACTGCCCATGAAGTTTTCTGTAATCTTACGGGCACTCACTTGACCCTGTGTTGGATGAGCGCGATTGTTTGCCTGCTTCCAATTGGCTTCCTGGCCACGTGCATATGGGTTTTGCTGGTGGTTCTCCCAAAACGCTTGAAGGCTGCAAATGCAACTTTTGTCCGGGCCTGCTCATTCCTGATCTTAAGGTTCAAGCCAGGATACGAGGTCTTCACATTGGCGTTTCTGCTGAGAAATGTGCTCTTGGTGCTGACGCCCATGATGCAGTCGGCAAGCAGTTTGTTTGTGATGGGAAACCTCTTGGCCTTGACCGCTACATCGGTTGCATACTTCAAGCCTTGGCGTTCAGACATTGCTACTCAGGTGGATGTATTTGTCAGCTCGATGTTGCTCAGTGTTCTACTTATGGGTGCGCTCACTGTGAATGATGCGGAGCACAAGGGCCTTATGATTTTGTGTACAGTGTGTGGATCCGTCATCGGTCTTACACTTATCACAGGAACATTGTGGTTGCTAGTTCAGCATATTGCTTCCAAGTTCCGCAAGAGGTATGCTTATTTTCTCTCTCATCACAGATCCGCTTCTGCTGCATTTGCACGGCTGCTCAGAATGGAGCTGAGAAAATGCGGGAAACAGTTCAATGCGTTTATTGATTCTGACAACCTTTCAGATCTCTCACGGCTTTTCTCCTATGTCGTCAGCGACACACAGACATTCGTCGTTTTGGCAACACCCGAAATTTTCAAGAGGAAATGGTGTATGGGAGAAGCTGTCGCGGCACATCTTGCGAAAGTCGACACGGTGTTGATAGCTTTCCCAGGCTTTGAACTGCCCGATGAGATCTTTATCAAAAACTATGCCAGAATCGTGCCTGACAATAATGAGCTTGCTGTATATAGTATTGGGCTCTCAGAAGTTCGAGATACCTTGCGCTGGCTATGTACAGTGAGAAGCTTTGGAGTAGCTTCTCCTTTCTCCGTGGAGAACCTGTCGGATGTCATTAGCAACCTTACTGGACTATCGGCGCCAGAGCATCAGCCAAATGTGACAGATTATGCGATCTTGGCAGATCCTGACAACATGGAAGCCATGGCCACTGCTGAAGTCCTGGGTCGATTCTTGATCGCCGTCATCCCGGAACGAGGTTTGTCACTGCATGTGCTTTCCGTTGAGGAGGATATTTCCAGGACAGATACCAAACTTGTTCTCTTGTGTACGACGAGGTGCTTCGAATCTCAGCACATGGCGCGGTGGCTGTTGCAAGCACGGGTGGTCCAAGCTTGTCAGGTTTTGCCAGTGGTCGCAGATGAGAGATTTCTGCTCCCAAGCGGGCACGGGGAAGGTATGACCATCAAGACCGGGATTGCAGATGGTGTCGATGAGACTGCATACCTGCAACTGATCAGGGCGGTCTTTGTGGAGGTGGCGCTCTCATTCATCCCATCGCAAAGCTCTGAAGCTGACTTGACCATTCGGAGCAGGCAGGTGGCAGCGCGACTTTTTGGAGATTTGACGCCGCTGTCCACAAAGCTACTCATGGTAGCAGATGTGGCCAGGGGGTGGTGCCCTCAAGTTTCAATCGACTCCAATGCTAGCCTTCACTTCTTGAATCGCAATTTGCAAGATGAAGTGATCGCAGAATCTGTGGACACTGACACTGTGACCACAGTCTTTTAATTGAACTATGTTCTCACAGTGTCTTTTTTTCTCGCAGTGTTCACGTTTCACTCTTTTTGGAATAGCTTGGGCGGCAAACTCATGCTCCATCAGGCTTTCGTCTTGTACAATCAATTTTCGAACTCCGTGTGCAAGCACCGACAGGCAAGAAACCAGAACTTCCGCGAGAAACCCTCGCCTGCTTGCGAGTGCTGAAAAAAAGCACCAACATTAGTTCCTTGATGTGCCGATGCCAAACTCTCATTCCCTTCGCTCCAGGAAAGCCATGCTAGCTGCTAGCCGCCCTTCGTGTCAAAGCTTTCAGCGGCACTCAAGTCTTGAGACTACCAAATCGAGGATGGATCCGCAGCAGCCTGGCGTCTTCACGTCGTTAGTGGTTGTTGGCCAGGCGGACAAAGCATGGTGCATGAGCATGCTCGCAGTTATATTTTATAGGCTCGAGCAAGCATCAACATGCCACGCAGAAGCAGCCAAACTGGATGCAGGTCTTTGACAAGCAGGCAGGCGCCTTCTGCTTTCATTTTCAGGCGCGGAAGCTGAACGAGATTTTTTCAGCTCCTTGACTCCTTGCGTGGCTGCTTCTTCTTGTTGTGTAGGTTGCAGTTGACGGTGACAGTCGCTGGGTGCAACTCCCAGTCAACCGGGCTGAGGTGATTCTGAGATGTGAGTAGCACGTCAAGTAATCTGGCTATACATGAGAAATTCCCGTCTGGTCACGCCGTTTACTGTTTTCTTAGTTCGACCGCTGTTTGGCTCCAGGTCTTTTTTCCAAAAGGTCCTGGTGGGTTGTCCGGCGAGGCCAGCTCACAATGCCCTTTGCGAGCCGTATTCAAAAGACATTAGTTGAGGTAATCGTTAACCCCCCACCTTGCCATGGAAACGGCGAGCGCCTCAAGATGCCCTTGTCGAGCTCACCAAGCGACACCTTGTGACAGCCTGCTCCTGAACTTTGCCTCATTGAGGCTCTGACGTTGCATTCACCATTTTTAGCCCGGCACCGAACAGGACTTTGCAGACACTTTCCCTAGTTAAGACTTGTCCCGGGCTCGCGCATCCTCCAGGGCTGAAGAGGTTCTGCCCGGAGTGTCAAGGTCGAAGAACCGAGGCCGTAAGCATTTGAGGCTGCGATATTTGTCTTGAGGTTGAAGCGTGCAGCCCCGTGTTCTCAGTGCGAGTTGGGCCGGCGCCGTGCTGCAAAAGCGATGACGATTTGCTGACAGGACTTTTGAAATCATTCTGGACCTCACGTCCAAGGCACGATTCTTGAATCAGACCGTCAAATTTGCTCTGCTACAACCTTCGAAACCGATGCCAAAGCACAGCCTGATGCAGCGTCTCGTGACAATGTCGCCCGTTTCGAAGTCGCCCGTTTCGAAGTCGAGCATGTCTGGGGGAATTGTCAAGTCCACCGCCTTGGTACGATTCCAGCTGGACAGAAGGTCTTTCTCCCAAAAGTCGGCGTTCCCACCGAGCATTCAACAAAAATGTGCTGGGAAACGCGGTGCCGCCGCATCGACAGATAGATCTCTTGGCAGCAAAGGCTGTTCAACAATTAGAGTTCAAGTTCGTGTGAGTAATGCATGGTGTCCATGACAGGTGAAATCTCCTGCGATTAGGGAATGAAGGTCGTACATCCCTGCACCATGACAGCTCCATGCCAGGATCGCAGACAGACTGTCACATGGAGAGCTGTGTGAGCCGGTTGCAGCCTCCAGCCCGTAGTATCCCATCTTCCCCCATGGCGCACTGCAGCTTCGATAGGTTGATTTGCCGACAGAAGCGGTGCCGCTTAGCAGAAAAGTGAACTGTGCATCAGCAAGCGCACAACATGCATATCGCAGATCGAAAATCGCAAAAGCTACGTGTCTTGAACATGTGCGGTCAGCCATACTAGGTAGTGCCGAATCGAGGACATGCCAAAGCACAGACACACACGTGCACACTAGCATGGCGTTGGCAATCTCAGGCTTCGTTCAAAGGTTTCGTAGCTTGCATGATTCAGACAAACTCGTAGCAGCATCACATTTTTGGCCAGAGTCTCTTCCAGTCTAAGCCAACTGCGATGGGCGCTGCCCGGGACTCGTACAAGAGGTTCTAGCAGCTGCGGCGGGTATCCTGAGCCATTTGAGAGGCTCAGGCGGTAGCTGAGACAAGAACTTCCCCGACAACGCAGGCTTGCCGAAGTGGTGTCAGATCTGCTTAAGATGCCAGGGCCGTCACGCCGCCGACCGTTCTTTCTAGCTAGAAATCTCTTGTCAATGAATCAAACGAAACTCAAAACCCGTCCAGGTACAGGCTTGATAATTTCAGTCATCTGCTCGTTTGGCACAGGTTGGAAGTCTGCTGGACGTCTGATCAATCGTAGAGCTGGCAGTGCTGGAGTCCAGCATGCTATGTCGATGGAGGTGCCGGTACCTCCTCGGCTTTGTCATCAACTATGCTGCGAGACTGCCGGTGAAGATGCAGAGCTCCAAGTTGAAGTGGAAGTTTAGGTAGTCTAGTCACTTGCGATCTGTGCATCACGACATGCAGATCATCGAACTGTTCGACACGACTGCGAAATCGACCATGGAGGAGCGCTGCTGATGATCCTAAGTCCTAAACTACTTGGTCCTAGCACTCGAATTCATGCTAGGACCCGTCGTCCAGCACCCTCATGCTGCAACCGTCCTATCAGAGGTGCGGGCTCTTCAAATCTAACTAGCTGCACCGCGGGTCCTGCACGCGCCGCTGCGGCCCGAGATCTGGGCAACGTGGACTCAAGGCTTTGGTCGCAGGATAGCGATGCGAGAGCGCTCCGGACCATGCGAAGATGTCAATGATGTGCACGGTCCAACACTTTCTGGGAAGTCCCGCAGTGGAACCGCCGACAAAAAACAAGGAGTTCCGAGGAAGTCTTCTACCGTCTTCTACTGTAATGTACCACCTTGTTCGGACAGCTGTGCAGAACGGGCTAGGGCCTCGGCTTTGCATCGGAGTGCGCCATGGTACATCTGGACAAAGTCCAAGTCAAAAGAAAGGGGTAGATCGGTTAGGCCAGTCTGTGAGCACTTGCCGCCGTCGCGAAGTTGGGCAGTTCAGCTGCGCACAGCTGTGCACCAATCAATGAACTGGTTGCCCCCATGACTTGGGGGGTGCCATGTAGCGGAAAGTTATGCATTTCTTGCGAGTGATCTTCGCAAGACCCCTGCAGGGCCGCGGGCTGGCCAGAGCACTTTGAGCGCGAGCACCGTGCTTAGATGTGGATGCCAAAAGTTAAAAGAAGAGGCCGAGAGGCTAGCGGACCTGCATCGGTAGCTGACAGATCTGAGAGTGCCTGACCGCCCGATTTCAAAGGTTGGACGAGCTTCGCATCCTCGGAGTCCTCGGCTTCGAGCTCCGAGGCGCCTCGCTACTTGAGTCTTTTGCGCATTTTGGCACTTGCCTTTCATTTGGCATCATGTCATGACATGGCCACACGCACTTTCGCTACGATGGCTCCCAGAGCTGCGCATGAAAATAGTTTCCAGGCAGCCAGGCTTCACCGAAAGACGGTGTCTTTATCAGTTTACAGTTTACCCAACTGGGCCCGGGCATCATGGAGCACATGTCCCGTGGCCATACCTAGCTGCCCCCCTCGCCATGTAAGCAATGGTCAAAAAGCAGAGAAAAGCGAAGCAGTGCCTTGGCACCTGGCACCTAACGGCACACTCGTGAAGTGTGGTTGGCCAGCTGGCATCCCAGGATTGTCCCGAAGAGCAAAGATGATAAGCCTGGTTCGCTGCCAGCCACCTTTGCATTCGAAGCTCCCACGCCAACGCTGCTCGGCTGCCGATGGTCACTGCGCAGATAGTTTGTGTTCAGATGGAGCATCGTGACTTCGAAAGTGCCGGAGCAGGCCGAACAAGCGCGGATCGAAGCGAAAAGGGAAGACTTCAAAACCACCTCAGGCCGGCCGGCATGCCCCTGTGTGCAGGGGTCTGCAGTTTTTTCGTGTGCCTATATGACCGAAAGGAAGCCACAAATGGCCGATCAGAGTCCATCGACGACATTTTCTCGAAGGCAAAGTCGAAGGCGGCTTCCGCCGCACAACCAGACGGAGGCAGCCACAATGAGAGGGGCTGACCGTCAATGGTTCCAACTTGCTGCAAGCCCAGCGCAGCCCGTGATGCAGGCAGCAAGAGGCGGACCCAAACGGGCGATGGGAAAAAAAAGAAAGAAGTCAAGAAGCCCAAGCGCGGTTCTCTCGAAGATCCCTTTGGACGGCAGGGTGCTCAAACCACGGTTGATATGAAACTACTGGTAGGCCGGCCTTGTCTCGCATTGGCTGCTGTGAGGTAGGACAGGTAGGACTTGCAGCATCACACCCTTACTGCGTTCGCAAAACACAGTAACATGAACTTTTCTTGGAGTTTACTTGCATTCTCAGGTCTGGCGACTGGACAGATGACGGTCTCGGTGGCATCTACAACCAAGAAGGGTGGACTGGGAGGCGAACCAAGGATGAGTTGCGCATATTCAAGGCGCATCTGATCAAGGTGGGAGAAGGCGGTGGCACGCCTCTGTGTCCATTCGACGCTCAGAAGCAAGATTTTTCTAGCTACTAGCCAAGCTCTGAATCGAGCTGAGGTCTACCAGATCTACAAGTAGTAGCTGAGTCTAGCCTGTTCACATGTGGTGCCGGTCTTGGAATATCTGAGGACTGCTCTTGCTGCTACTAACCCCTGGCAGCCCTGGTTGTCCCCGTGTGGCATGCAGTCAAAAAACTTGTTGCGCGCGTGCCATGCTGTGAGGCTGCTTTCTACAGTTAGATTAGAACATGCAGTCAGGTTTTGGCCCACGGTGTGCCTCTCAGACTGCCAGAGCTCTTTGCAGATGGCAACTAATGCGGCACGGAAGGACAGAAAAGGGTTGCCGTGACCCTCCCAAACTCATATCAAAGTCCTGCAAAATTAACCCTTTGGCGCTGTGTTGGGCAGTCGGCTTTTCTGGTGAACGTTGTGGCTTTCACGTCACAGCCGGAAAGCCACGGGAAGCTCGTAGTCATAGCCGCTGTGCGCCGCAGCCGTGTGCGAGGTGCTTGAAATCTCAGACATTCATGGAGTTCTTCCAAGCGCCATTTCGTGAAGTTCTTTCAAGTGTCGAGCTGTCACCATTGCAACATCAAGCAGAGGTAGTACATCTAAATCCCAAGTTTCCCCGTACCTTCACCTTGACGAAGCACCCTGCCGTAACCCAAAACAAGGAGATGGTTGGCAAACGACAGGTTTGTCGCGGAATAGACGGCTGTGGCTACCCGATTGGGGACGCAACGTGCCCGCTCAGGCCTCCTCATCAGTTCCGGTCTGGAGCTATCTACACGGGTCCGTGTCTTAAGAGCCATAAATGTGCCCTGCCCGGTTGGAGCTTGCGTTTTTTTTGGACCTGCCAAGGCCAGTGGTGTGGCAATCAGCGCCACGGCTTCGGACGGCAAGTGTGGCCAGATGCCTACCGAATCCAGTCAGAAACCAGTGCGCACTCCTTGATGTTTAAGTAGTCAGGCCAGATGGGGCGCAGTATGAGGGCTGCTGGCCGGATCGATGGCACACCCACTTCAGAATGTCGCTCGAAGGAGAGCCTGCCAGGTCCAACAGCAGTGCCTCCGGGTGCGTAGCTTGGTGTGGCTCATGTGAACCGGCAAGATTCGGCACCTTTTAAATTAAATTGGACACGAACGAGGCTTGGTCGATTCAAGTTTCCCGACGGTTCGGCTGGACTCTTAATCTGTGCCGTGACAGGTGCCGACAGGCCCCCGGTCTGTGAAAAGCTCAGGTGTACCTGGGACACTGGCGCGGAAATCGCTTCCACGGCCTGCAGCCATCAACAGCTTCCTCGAATTCCCAGTCAACTCCTGCAAAAGGCTACAAGCATTTTTCTGCAGAGGCTTGGGGGCACACTACCTGGCCGATGGCTCCTCGTACCATGGTCAGTGGGCGCGGGCCTAGGGCCTATGGAGTCGAAGCGAAGAAGCGAAGGAAATCACCGGAAATCCAAAAAAAGCTGGTAGCAACACTAGTGGCACGAGCAGATAATACGGGGTCAGCGGATATGCATGCGGATGCAGCCCGTGAAGAAGCCCACCGGACTCGGTGCAGCCAGATCAACTTATGTATACGTGTTGCGAGACGTTGCTGCTAGCAGCTAACAGGCCGCCTGTGGAGAGGTGTCAGGGTCTTTCAAGCGACGACGGCGGTCAGGAACCAAAAAATCACTGCAAATTCCTACTTTGTAGGTTATGTTTATCGCCTGGTTGTAGCCCTGGCCATCAAGAGCAAGTGTGTCCAAGACACCCATTTTCGTGGCTACATTGCGGTCTTCCAGAGGTGCTGAATCACAGAGCATCTCATCTCAGGGTTCCAATCGCTGATGAGCAAGTTATTGCGGGAAAGATAGACAGATCTCCGACAAAGGCTTCGGTTTGGTTCCACGGGTGGTGTTTCAGGGTAGCAGTAGCACAGAGGAGGGGAGTGGACATTCGATGTACAATCGCCGGGATCTTGCGTTCTCCGACGTCAGGTACGGCATGTACCAGCAAGATGTGACATGAGGAAGAACTGCTCGGCTCCAGATCGGACACACTGGTTTGAAGTCCTGTTCGGCGCGCAGATTGAACGTTGGAGGGATCTGGGTTGTAAGGTTGTTAATTCACTGGAAATCATGGCAGACCGTCCAAGCCTGAAATGCATTGCCTGCATGAGAGCGTGTCATATGCAGGCATGCAACTTTTCCAGGCAGCTTCCAGATAGCTCGAATCGCGAAACGCCCCGAAAGACCCCCCGCAAGCACTCAAAAGACAGTCGGGGACTTGCCTTGTCGTCCCCTTATAGGTACCCTTACAGGATCCCGTAACTTAGCCAGATGTTTCACGCCAAGGGTAGGCACGATGGGACGCACAGACCAGGGCGGCGGGAGACCACTACCCGTAAGAAGAAGATCCCGAACAGTTTGCACACGCAGAGGAGACAGCAGGTTCTCCGTGCTTAACAGACATTGCTTGTCCCAGCGGTTTGTGTAATGGTTGTGTAGTTGCCGGTGCGATGTTCGTGCGGTCATTGCTGTTTCTACTGCCCTTGCTGTGCCTGTTGCTGTTTCTTGTTCTCGTCGTCGTGTTGCTCGACATGGCCCAGTGCCACATTCGTCCAGTAAGCGGTGGGCAGGAATTAGCCAGGAAGAGGTTTTGCAGCTGGCTTGAAATAGGCTCGTGCATGTGGCACTCTGCACCTGCTATCACACATCTGGCCGTGTCCTAGGTCCATGGGTCTCGAGATGGCGTTGGCGTGGAGACGTGCCTCCGACTCAGAAAGTTTGGCCCAGGCAGTTTGCCATGATGTCTCTCGCGGTTCACAGTTCTGTCATAGCGATTCGTTCTTTCGAGTCGTGCTGCTTGCGATATCAGATTCTTGGAATCTTGGATCAGGAGGGAATCACGAAAGCAGACGCAATTGAATGAACATGAATGAACCTCATTCCGTGCCAAGACGCCTCATTCTGTTCCAAGACATACCTTGTTGGACTCAGTTGACGATTGATCCTGTCGAGGCACGTGTGGTAAAGAGAGTTGTGGCTTACATCTCATAGTAAGTGGCAGTGGAACATAAGGTTTTGATCGCTGGTGTAGCTGGTACGCGGACGTTCTCAGCTTGGCATGGGTGTTTGTACGGAGGACATAGCAGTTTGCGAACAAGTCCTCAAAGCTGCGCTGGCAGATGAGGCTTTGTTCATGAATGATGGCTTTCGAGCGACGCGGGTACTCATGTCACAGCTCGTTGATAAGCTAAGACAGGGCGGGAAGCCTGAGAGGAAGCCGAAATCAGGAAGGACGTCCTTGCCCAGCGGCATCTCGGAGGATGACAAGGAACGAAAATCTTACAGCGTGTGCGAGGTCAAGCCCGCACAGTTCAGCCGCCTGGTCTACACCAACCCGGTATGCCTACTGAGCTCCTGCCAAGGCAGCGAACGAAACCTCATGACAGTTAGCTGGCTCACAGCCGTGGACAACAACGGTCATTTGGTTCTTTCCCTAAACAAGCGCCGCCACTCTGCTGGCAGCATTATGTCCTCTCGTGCTTTCGTGTTGAACGTGCCTACTGCCCAACTTGCTCAGACAGTGCTGGAAATTGGTGGCTGCAGTGGGGGAACTACCGACAAGATCGAACGCTTCAGCGCGCCTCTGGGTGGCTTTTGCTTACCGGGGTGGAAACCACTGGGAGCCTGGCCTCCATCTGATGAAGATTCGGAGGCTGGGAAGCTGGTGTTTGCCATTAGTGGATGCGTAGCGCACTTGGTCGTCCATGTCCTCGTGGATCTTGATGAGATAAGTTCCCATCACCTACTGGTTTGCAAGGTGGTCCGGGCTTTTGTTCGCAGTACATACTGGGATGGCAAGATATTTTCCCCACGGTTGGATATTGACACGCTGACGCCACCTTACATGTCCTTCTTCGGAAGCCAGACTTTGGGATATGTGGTTCCAGGCTGTTGTGGACAAGGCGGCGAGTAGCATGCGTTGTTGGGCAGGAGCAGATTCAGCTGAAGGATCTGCGGACAAGTTTCTGCTTTCCCAGAACGAACCGCATGTGCAGCGCGAGAGACGGCGGCCAAGGATTGGTAAGTGTTCGGAGCTTCGCTAATAAATGCGAGAGTGCATCCCCACTCCCAACCTCTTGCTTCTTTCTGGGGGTTTAAGCGAAGACCTGGCACGTTTGAGCACTGTGTACCGTTCTATATTCCAACTCGTCATAGGTCAAGAGTCGAGAGTATGCATTTGTTGGAAACAACGGTTGAAGCTGAAAGCCAATCATGTTCCTGGCAGTGAATGTATCGCAAGCTGACACAAGGAGAGCAAATTCAAGCACCCAGTATCTTTCGCCCCGAGCTTGCCTCACCGGGCCAGACATTCCGAACAGCACAGTCTATCATGTGGAGTCAACGAGATCCACAGCATGCAATAGCAATGCCGAACCTTCATCTCAACGGACGGCCTCGAGCCAAAGAGTGTAAGATTGGCGTGTGGCACATGACCTCTGTTTTTTCCAGCGCTGGTGGCAAGAAGCGGCGTGCGCTGATGGCTGCGCGATCTCTTGTTTTGCTACTGTTTTTTAATTGCACATGATCTGCATGCAGGGAATGTATGGGTCTTCCCCGAATTTCTCCAACAGAGCGGCAAGGCGATTTAATGAGAGTGTGCGATTCGATAAAGAGAAAGAGTGGAATGACAAGAAGAAAGGAGAGCTGCTTGAAGATGACAGCTTCTTTCGAAGAGCATTCGGGCATGACATGGAGAAAGGGGACTGAAGAGGGATGGTGCAGCGACTGCCTTATTAAAGCAACTGAAAGCACCGCTAAAGTAGTTCCTTGTCATTTGTTCCCCGCTGCTGCTTGAATTTGTGCTCCAGGGGTCTCAGAGTAGCGCTTCCGCACGTTGCATCGCTGTAGCGACATGGGGCGAACGCAAGCCCCGCTTCGCACAGTGGCACTGCTATGCATGTGTCTCGCTGGCATCTGGAGCCTGGGAGTGCCGGCCATGGCCTCAGGAAAGTCTGGGAGACTACCGTGCGTTCAACACCATGCAACCAACTTACTGTCCCAATGTTCTAGATGCTGTGAGCGATGTTACGAGCGCCCCATCACGCTATTTGTCAGCAATGCGCCCCTGAGTGAGCCTCATGACAGCTGCGTGGTTTCAGGTTTCATTTCTATGCACAACTAGCCTCTCAGCAGCAATGCCTGTGGCTACAGCGGCAGAGTAGGCACTGCAGCCTGCAGAGCTCCAATATCTCCGGGTGGTTGTCACCGAGGCAGGCGAAGAGCCATGCCGACTGCTTTTCCAACATGCAGGATTCCATTGCCTGGTCGGAGACCCCATGTTTGTCTCCATGCCGGTGTCCCTGATGACCTAGCAGGCGTCACTTGGCTCTACTCTGCAACGATTGATGTCGTAGCCGTCAAGGCGGGACAGCTTCGGCAACCATCATTTTACTTGCTCTCACGAGGTCAGGCTCCCGAAATACGTGGAGATCTCACAAGAAGCACTCCTGGCAGCAGCGGTTGTGCAGAACAAGTGCTTCTCCGGCACATAGAGAACGAACTGTACTTCCAGAAGGCAGCGGTTTGGATGGTTTGGCCGCTGAGGAAGGATGACTTGCGGAAGTTGCTGGATGCAGGCATGGTGTGTGCTGTTCATGGGCTCGTCACATGTCAAACCGACTCGTGCAGGGGCCCCGTTGGAAGCCATTTCTGGCAAGGGCCGAACCGCGCTGGCGTGTGCAGCAGCCGCATGGCTTCAGTTTGCAACTGCACCTGGCCAGTTGTCTAGAGCCGCTGTCACCTTTCCATGCGGAATCGCCCGACGAGATTCCGAGCTGGGTTCAAAGATTAGAGGGTGGCAGAAGCCGCTTGATGAGCCATTACAATCACATGACATTTCATGTCATGAAAATTTCTATGATTCGCCAAACCTGGCTGACATAGCCTTGGCGGAACGACAAGGAGTAACCATTTCGCTCACTTTGCTGCATTGGGAAACTGTTTCGACCAATGCCGAGTGGTGGAAACCCTCAGCAGACCGTCAATTCCTGAAGACATCTTTGGGACATCAGGACAACAAGAAACAGAAAGCGTAGAGGCACGTGGCTTACTTGCACGCTTTGTGGGACCCGCGTGTAGAGGCTTATAAGGGTTGAGTGGCAGGTCGCAGTAAGGCGGGAAGGTCAGATACAAGGCACTAGTCACTAGGAGCACAGGGGTCGGCGACCCAAGTTGTGATGCATGTAGGCTGTTTGGACTCAAAATTGGGACACCGACTCAAAGTGTCAATTAAGCACCCAGAGTGGGAGGCACGCAGTCTGTTCGTGCAGCCTTGCCCGTCCCTCAAAATGGTGGACGGGGCTGTGCGAAAGCGCGGACGAGGGGAACTTCCCGTTCCTTAACCCCTAGCAAAGCAATGCACAGACTCAACAACCCAGTGCGCGTCCGCGTGCGGAAGTGCTGTGCCCGTCGGGGCCGTGCGTTCAGACACTTGGGCCTGGGTGGGGGAGGGTGGGGGGGCTTAAGGACATCCGGTTTGCTCAGATATTAAGATGACGATTATGGTGTCACTTGCGGCAAGGATGTCTGCAGATTCTGCTGCATACCGATGATGATGCTGATGCTGACAAAGGTGAAGTGGCTTCCGATTTGGGGTTGCAATTCGCACATGCTGGAAGCTTCTTGCTAGCCCAAGCATACATTGCAGGGACATCCGGCTGGCTAGCGATGATTTTAGAGGCGCTGTTGTTCCTGCGGCAGACAAGTGGGCTCCTGCGACTACAGCTTTTCATGAGCTGCAAAGGTTCGTGCAGGTGCCTTCGCAGGATCTGGAGGCCGCAAGCACTCTCTGCAAACAAAGGCTTCCGAAACAAACACACACACACACACACAATGCTTACAGTGTAAAACACGCCCGTGCTGTGACGAGAGCACGATTCGACGATGTTAAAACAAAATGATGTTGAAACCTTGAATTTTCAAGACCCACCGAACAAACAAACATTTACAACATCGAACAGGCGCCGAGCGAAAATGCATTGTCGCGAAAAGTTTGCATGAGGTCCTGGAGCAATCGGCCTGAGAAAGCTCCTCGCCCAAGCATAACTCGCTTTTGGCTCGAGTTTTGGCCACGCCGCCGTGTTGCACTGACCAAGCGCACGGTCCCACACGGGCACCGTCACCTTGTTTTACTTGGTGACCGGTTTCCGCGATTGCAGCAACCTCAGCAAGCAAAACTTGATCCTGAGCACGAAGATAACGCCAGCAACGCAAGCAAGTCCATCGCCTGTGTCAAAGGCCACAGCCCTAAGTTTGGCATCGGGGATCATCCGAAGTCATTTTCATCCGGGCTACGAGAAGAGTGGCACTTCCCGGCTTCTTGTTCATGCCCAAGTCCACTGCCACGCATGCACTACACGAGTCATCAAGGCGAGAAAGATGTTTCACAGTTGTACCGACATGTCTGTTCCTGCTCACACTGGAGTCCAGACCTGGACTTGCAGCCAGCTGCAAGGGCAGCTGGGTCAGAGCATGGAGGAAACCCTGTTATTGTGACAAGCCAAGTTTCAAGGTGGCGGATGATGAAGAGAGCGCTCGACTACTGCTGGATAAAGGTGCTCAACTGGAGGACGGCTGGATGATGCTGTGTGAAGGTCTTCAGGTTCGGTTCGTCTTGTCCAATGACTCAATCATGTTCTGGGATGTAGTTGACGGATGAAGTCAAAATCGAACATGCGCGTGGTTTGAGACTGTGAACCCATCTGAACCCGTCTCTTTGTTTGCTGGCACGACTGCGGTGATTTGAAGGCATTGGACGATTCTGGGCGGACGCCTTTGGCTTTGGCTGCTGCCTACGGGAATTTCGCAGCTGGGCAGTGAGTGAGCAGCCTTTTCGGAGCAGCATCGCATTCCTTTTCGATTTTGTCCGGCATGAAGTTCTTTCCCAGTCCCAAGAGGCCCTCGTTCGCTTCTTCGTGGAAGCCGGGGCAAACATAGAGGCGAGAGACAACGGAAAGATGACAGCGCTCCATTGGGCTTCCGTGAACGGCAACGAAGGCCTGCGGCCACAGCCCCAAACAACTGTTAGTGAGATATTGAGGGTTTTTGAACCGCTTTGTCGGCATGGGACCAGACATTGCCTCTATGCCTGTCAGATGTTGTTCGGTTCCTTCTGGATAACGGCGCGGACATCCACGCTGAGGATGAAGATGGCATGAGCTTCGGATACGTAAGCATCTGCAAAGCCACAGGACAACGAGTATGCCAGGCCAAATGAAGGTCGACAATTTACAACCTAAGTCCCTTGTGGCCAAGCCAAGGACAGCACTGAAACTGGCAACTTTGGGTAAACGCGACGATGTCATGAAGCTGCTACTCTTGGTCGAGGCTTGTGCCTCAGGTCTAGTCTGCGGTGAGGCATGCTTGTGTAAGCGCCGGCACATTGCAGGCATGATCGGTAGAGTTGCCGTCGGCGGGCTCTGCAATCCTGAGTCCTGAGGTTGATTTCCCACAGGAGACGCTGATGTGAGCGTGGCACGGATAAGCCCGGTGCCATGCCTCACAAAGCAAACATGGGAATGGACGAGTGAGGGCTGCCTTTGCTGTTTCCTCCCATTGGCACAGTCACGACGAGAAGCGCCACAGCATGCAGCAACTGCTACTGTAGCAGCCCTTGATCCGCACTTGCCTATGTCGTGACTCGTGCTTGGAGTTGCCCCGCCTAGGGAGGTCAATGTGCCAGGTGATCACTCTCCATGTGTACATATTCGCCTCTTCCAAGGTGTGTTCCAGATACACACACTAATTTCAGGCATGCACAGGCACCAGAGCTTTGAGCGGTTGTGTTGCACATGCCGATTTCCATTCGACCACGCGCCCATGTGTTCTCGATTGGTGCCAACCCTGAACTACCATATATTGTGCCGGTATATCCAGCGCAGAGCTGTCAGCATGAGACAGCTGGTTCCTGTCAACGCTGGCAAAGGCCTTCGAGGGAAAACGAGAATTTCGCAGAGTGGGTTGCTGTTTGCGGCACAGGAGCGGCCTGAGGATCCGGGAGGTCTCAGGAGAAATGAACTAGTCGAAGATACCAGGTACAGGGCAGATAAGTTAGTGAGCTCATGCGTCGATCCAACCGTGGTGTTGTTTCATGCAGCATCTAGAGCTGGAGTATGCTTCAGTGAGAGCTGGGACAGGGATTGGTGATGAGTGGTAAATACAAGAAGGTTTCCGGCTACGCATGGCTTGAAATTACATTGGCATGCAAGCGACACGGTGCACAGATTTGGGCCTCACGTGGCACCTTGAGGCTCCTCCAGCGCAGACTGCGCTCAGGCCTGAAAGGGTTTGCAGCCCGTGTTTCTGCCCACTCCTCCTTCAGAGGCTTCAGTGTACTGGGGCGACTTCTGTCGAGGTCAGAAGGCACGGTTTGCTTTCCTCGAATTGCATCGTGGCACACAATTTTTCCCCACTGCGTGTTCGTGCGCGGGTCTCGTGTCTTCGATGGGCCCACTTGCGAAACTGTTGCTGTACGCCTCGAAAGTAGCTAGCGCCATAAAGGATATCGGGCATCAAACGGACCACTGGTGCAGTCGAAAGTTCGGGTACTGGCAAGTAACTCGTGCCACAGTCCAGGGCGTGCTTGTTGAGTACTAGGACTGCGCATTGCCATTGGCTGTGGAGCTAGGTGAAAAACTTGTCTCGAGCCGCACATCCAGTCAGGCTCAGGCAGCAGTTGGGATGCAGGGGACCATGATGTGGCTGGAAGGCCAATTATGAAACCAGGTGCAGTGATGTCAACAACAACAGCTCGGGTTCGGCACTCCATGAGAAACAGCAGTTTAATAGCAGCCAGTACCCCAACAGCAGACACATAAAATGCCTGCGGCTGGTCGCACCCATCTTGTGTTTGATTCGATCTGCGATAGCTACCCCACGATGCAATAACACAGCTACAAGTTAGTCGTAAATTTGTTCCAACACCGTCGGAAGACTGACTCAATATGGAAATCTTGCGATGTGTGAGTTTTCGTTTTTTGTTACGCAATCGGCGTTTTCTTTGAATTATCTCCATGTCCATGTTCGAGCATGGGTAAACGAGACATTTTTTTGTGCAGCAGATACTACAAACGTGCTGAACGCACGAGGCACCGGCAAGCGACACTAGGCACTGCAGAAAGGCCAAAACCCTTGCGCATTTAAGCCTTCCGTACAACGGTCCTTGGTTCGTAGGCACGTGGTCCCGTGCAAACTGTCACTAACCCTCGATCACGCGTTGGATGTCTCGCAAACTGTGCACATTGCAGCAGCGAGTCTGTCAACTGCTACGAGTCGGCCTTTGCTTACTGCTGCCAGAGCGTTCAATTGTTGAAGTTCCCGTTCACCCACCGCCGGAGGAAGTGGACTGCTCTCCCCCTCCACGTGGTGTCGGTGGTGTATTTCTGCAGTAGAGAAGTAGAGACCCAGAGAACATGATCTGATCCGAAGCGCATGGGTTGCAAACATGTGCTGCCGGGGTTTGAGTAGGTGCAAAGGGAGCTATTTTCTGGGCACAAAATACAGCATGCAATGAGTTGAAGTGCCGGCCGTGATTTCCCCGGTCAGTTTGCCGTTGCACAGCTCCGTGGACTGCCTTTCGGACGCAGGATGGATCAGGCATTTGCGAGTGGGAAGAGGGAAGCCGATATGCTGGGCAGCAGAGCTCTCAGAATCTGCTACAGGGACTTGGAGGGCGCCTGGCCGGATGGAGTGTTCTGACATAAGCGAGTCATGCAGGTGGCGAGCGGGATTGATCTCCGGCCATGGAGCTCTGACATCTGAGAGTGGAAGTCGCAAGTACAGGCGCCACGCATCGCCAAGCAAGGTTCTTCCTGGCCACTCAAAAAGAACTCGGCTGTACTGTTTGGCATTTCAACCCCTGCGCTCGCATGCATCGTTTCCGCAGGGGTCAGTGGGTCCATTCAAAGAAGCATGGTGCCAGGCCCAGGATTGCAGACATGACAAGCGCAGCCCCTGCTGCATGAATACCCTACGGCCAAGGTCGAGGTGTTTACACTTGGCCAGATGGTCGCGGCGTCCCAAGCAAGTCTCGTTCTGGGACACTCTCAGTCCATGAAACATCCTACATAACGATCCTAACATTCTCAGCGTCAGGTGAACACCGGGGCCAATACCAGCTGGACACTGCTTCTGGATTCGGTACATTCTCCTGGCCGTGCCGGCTTGCTTTCGAACGCTGAACTGGGACAGCAATCAGCTATTGGTTGCACGTGCACAGGCCGGATGGCAAACAGTATCACGGCTTTTGGCACAATGCCCACATTATCGGTGGTCGCCTCTCGAGCGCCAGTACATGCGGAGCGAGACCGGCACATGCGTGATTTCTTCCGGAGGTCCTGGAGTTCTCAGCGCTCCCGGACATTCCGACAGGCCCGGCCCGTCACTGCCGTTGCCGGCGCGATGCTTTGAGTCATGAGTTTCAGGCCGCTGGAAATTGATGTCAATCTGTTTCCAGCCGAGTTGAAGGCCTGCATGTGCAGCAGAAGTTGGAGACCCCCGCGAGCAAAAGAGCCCTGGAATTAACGGATCTCTTGTATTGCGTTGCGACCGCGTTTGCTCAGTTAGCTTAGCGGCTTAACCCCGATGTAAGACAAATCGGGGAGCTCCTGCCATGGCATGTGCTGAGCCGCTCGTAGTGCAGCAGTTTTCCTTTTCGTGCGAGAGGACTATGACACTTTTGCTAGCAGGCAAGGCGCAGTCAGAACTCACGGTTTTCGCCTGAGGTTCTCGCTCGAAAACCTCAGCAGGGTATTGCAAACGCCGCTTGGACTTCCCAATGCAAAAACTGACTGGCTCTGCTGCTTTGTGGACACATGGACACAAGCCATCCCGAGGTACGAGGGGCGTGACAAGACAGCCAGGCTAGTACAATTTGCCAGCAGATTTGTGGTCGGACTGACTGCGCAAGCTGCTTGACAAGAACGCTTCAGAGATTCAGAGATTCAGAGAGAGCGAGAGAGCCAACGCTGGACGGATGGGCCCCTTTCCGAGGGATGGTAAGACCATGTCCTTATGCCTGGAGCAAGCAAGAGAGAGACCGGGACCGCCGGTCGCTCTTGCACCTAGCGAAGCAAAGAGACAGAGCGAGAATGGTGAACATAGGGAGGGGGGGGCCTACCCGAACCCGTCGGAAGGAAGGAAGGAAGGAAAGGGGCAGAAAGAAACCACGCGGAGTGTCGCCTCCTTCTCGTTGCCTGGGAGGGAGAGGGAGAGAGAGCTAGAGGGCTAAGTATGTCGTCGTGTGCATTACCCTGCCTGTTGATTCAATGTCCGGATCCGGAGCGAGTTGTCATGTTGCAACACGCAGCGAGTATGGACGACAGAGCTGGCTAGCGCCTTGGGTTGAGATGAGGCCGGGGTGAATATAATGTTCTTTCAGGGGCTAGGAAGGGGGTGCAACAGTTGCAAACCGGCCCACCTCATCCCGTGGTTTTTCACACCGACAGACCGTGGAAACCAGGGCACTCGTGCGCGGAGGGGGGTCATGCTCCCGTCGTGGCTGTGTGGAAGAAGAGAGCAAAGCAAACAGAGCCGAAAAGGCTTAGCGACCACCGTACTTCGGCATACAAGCCGACCGTAGGCGAAGCCGTTCTCGCTCATGACCCCAATGCCTATTTCCCTCTGAATCCAGATGGGAAAGTGGAACGAAGAAGGTGGCTGTTGTTCGGGAGAGCCACTGCGAGCCAGGAAAACGATGCAACCCCAGCAGCATTTAGAACAAAGGCGAAGACAACTCTCTGAGGATCATATCTTCCAGCCCATAAAACTCCATGAATTTACAGCTGCGGCAGAGGGACTCCTTCAACGTGCGGAGAGTCAAAGATGCGATGGTGAACCCGGGAGGTTCCAGTCCTTGCCATGCTGAGACCCCCCGGGCCTGCTGCGAGAGCTTCAAGCCTGCGAAGGATTCGCATAGGAGAGGCTTCGGTGTTTGCCCAACCTTTCAGCCCTGCGAAAGACCGGCACTAAGGGCACTAACAAAGACGCTCATCAGATGGCTGTGAAGCAGTGGGGGATGCCCCACTGTGGACCTGCAGCCTGTGACATCACCAACTCAGAGGTTAGAGGTGCCTTGTGGTATCGTTTGGTTATGTATGGGAACCAAGCCTATTGAAGACCTCCCAACGCTTTCTTGTTGAGTCTCAGAGTGAGTTTGAGCGAATATCATACATCGATTGAATACCAAGACCTCGGATTCCGAGTTTCGTGTGTGTGTGTGTGGCTGTCAGTTGATTTTGAAATTTGCCACAGGGGCAACTGAGCAACCCACTCAAATGTTCACGCCATCAGCCTGCCTAAGAGGGGTTCTTAGCAGGCCGACTAGAGTAGTCGAGTATGGGGCCCTATGGGGCCCTCCGACCCCGTTAGACGAGTCCAGAGTCTAATTGCCCGCCGATTCGACCTAGCTGGCTTATATAGCTTTGCCAACGTCTCACAGCGGAAGATGAAGGAACGTGTTGTTTTCTTTCTTGGCTCAGCTCCGCACTGCAGTTGTCCTGAAATGTCGGATGAGATCTGGACGTGAACGCCTGCTAGGTGCAGGAAGACGCTAATTAACCAGTCGAGTTGTGCCTTGGAAGCGGAACCTGTGGGATCTGCCTGCGTCACACTGAGGCGAGCAGCAGGACTTTTCTCCGTGCCGTGCATGGAGATGCTCGAAAGTTGCTAGCAGCGGTGACGTCAGCAAGGCGAACGTATCGAATTGGCAGAAGCCCGGCCAAAGTTCAACGCTGTGTCCCCGCTTAACATCCATTGGCAGGGAAGGCGCCTTGAACAGAAGGCGTTTCGCAGCATGATTGTCTGTCTTTTCCAGGCAAGGGGCTCCAAGTTTGGATGATGTTTCCTTTAGTAGCTTTGGTACCTCTCCCGCCTGCTCTGCCTATTTCTCCCCTGCCTCTATGGTTTTTGTTCGTTGGGAGCTTTGCGGGCGTGTCCGGCAATCCTCTGCGCTTTCCACGTGGCGGTGGAATTGGAAAGGCCATGTCTTTGGTCTTGGTTATGCATCGTGTTGACCACTCCAAGGAGAGTTGCCCATCCTCCTGTCGTTCTCAAGTGCCATGGCCCAGCCAAAGCTGATGGACATTGCCTTGGATCTCTCAAAAAAGGCGAGCTCGCACTTGCCGACGCTTTGGGTGCCGACATGCTAGCGCAGATGCTGCAAGGCCACGCTCGTCATGTATTTCCTGACGGACCACCTGGGGTGGCTGAAGCAGGCTGGAAGATAAGGACATGATGTCTCTGGTTGCTGCCATGTCGGACCCCGATGAAAAAGATATGAGAAGCTTTGATGCCCTTCGTGGCCCGCGCTGGCCTGATAGGCTTTTTCTTTCGGGATCGCCGCTGTGAAGTCTGATTTGTGAAGATCCGGGCTTGACTTGTCGCTATTGAAACAACATTTCGAGTAGTAAAGGCGAGAAGGTACACAATTCCTCACGTTTAAAGGAACGGCCCAGAATACCGTCGTCGGTGACGATAAAGTGCAAGGCAAGGATGTGCCAGAGCTGGTTGCAATTGCTCGTCATACTGATCGATGGATGCCACATTGGCGTATCGCATGAGACGCCTTCCAAGGGAGTTGCTGTGCAGGAGCATAGAGAAACCATTGTGTGTGTGCGCGCGTGTACACGTGAAAACTGCCTCGCATCGTGCTTTGTGGAAGGTGCTCCGCGATGCTAAGAGTGCAGCCAGCACAATTCAGCGGGGATTGGCATGGCTAGCAATTTCGAGCTTCGTTTCGGCGACACTCTGCTTGAAACGGTTGCACGCAGTACAACACAGTAATTCGGCACGTCTGTACTCAGGATCTCTGGAGTACGACACCTCTGTGCAGCTCCAGATGTTCCAAGCCAGGCGGGTTTGAATGAAATTGAATGAATTTTTCAAGTCACCACGTCACCTCATGCCTGTTGTAGAGCCGCTAGGATCGCCAGGCACGTACTGATGGCAGATCCGACCTGCAACCACAGAAGCGCAGAGAGGTGCCGCGTTCGGGCTTGTTGGTTGTCGACGTGTGGGTCAGTTCGCTGTGAGCCGGTGCTCAGGCATTTGTTCTCATCTTCCGAGACTGTTTGCTAGCATTCCAAGCCCTCCACTTAGCACGAATCCTCGAGGGTGGCGACCTGGATGCATCCAGCATGCTGCACCAGACCCTCTAGTAGTCCTTCTGGAGCTCACCGTGACAGTGCTTTATTCTTTGATTATTCTGCCGGTGGGACTCGGATCTTCTTTGTATCACTGTTGTCTAGTTTTACACCTGTGTCTGACATCTGTGCGTGTTTTATGCGTGGGATTCGAGGTGACAGCTTGGTTGGTATCCTGGGATGCCTGGCTCGAGTACGACATGAGAGGTTGTTTCCTTGCATTCTTTATCTGTGCGCCCTGCTCGTCATGAGTCATAGAGCTGAAAACTGCAGGAATGGTGACAAGCATTATCGACATCGCGAGGGTGTGGCCTGTCCAGCGATGTCCAAAGCAGGAGGAGACTGCCACAGCAGTCATGCAAGACGAGCGACATGTTCGCAGTTAGTCCCCAGTGCAAGCTGATAGTCTCCCCGAGCGGTAAGCTGCTACAAATTTCGCTGAAACAAACGCCGGAGCAAGTTGGGACACGAATGGGAGGCAGGTGCTTTTTCGCGTCACTGCCAGATTGCTTTGCATCGCAATCAGCATTTCCAAGGTCGCAGCAATGCGCGGAAAGTGAATTTGGAGAAGCTGGCTCGACATTTTCGGGGCAAACGAGCACAACCCGAGAGTCGTTTGAAAGCGAAGTCAGCGAGTCCACAAGTGTACAGATTGCGGGTCTACAGCTGTAGATCATTGCTCCGTTAGCCGTTAGCAGAAGTGCAAGCACCTTTCCGACTGTCAGTGTACAGCGACACGGATTGGACAGCTTGATTTAAGTGTGCCATGCTCGGCGGTCTGCAGTCAGCAAGCAGCGACTGTTCAGCAAGTACTGATCATGCCGGTGGCGGTGAATGTTGAAGCATGCGTGCAGTGCACCGAAGAATGTTTGTGTTGGGTTCCTGCAATAGCCCCAGTGCAACTAGCTTGTCATAGACTAGCAGCAGTACCACTTCCACCAAAACCCGTTGGACTCGTTCCCGCGTTGAAAAGCACGTGCTCTGATGTCGGCAATAACCTGTGGCATGCACAGGAAGGTTCCTGTCCTCCCGAGGGTATTCAGCTTCCAATGATGGAACGGCATGTGCAACTTATGTTTTCTCTCAGTAGGGCTTCCATGCGCGGCTGCACTTGGATTCCTCTGCACCAGTTGCGGAATGAGTGCTGGCTTCGTGCCCGAAAACCCCTCTTGAATTGTGCAGGCTACTCAGAACCGTGTTACAACCTCGCAAGGCAGAACTTGCGAATCAGCTTGACGGCATGCCGCTGCTGAGCACTCACTCGCAGCATCCTCAATCCAATGTTTTTGTTTGAGGGGTCCTCCCATGAAAGCAAGCTTGGCCGCCGAAAGCTGCTAGGTCACAAAGTGAGCAGGGCGAACTGGAAAGGCCGTTTGGAGCCAAAAATGTTGACAGTGGTTGGAGATGTTATGTGCTGTGATTGTTGGATACTGTCGGCTTCTGAAGGACACCGGACACGAAGCACCGCAGCCTGGGAATTACAAAGGCCTCTATGGTCATGCATCGGCTGCAGTTTCCTTGGTCTGAACTTTGACGACAGGCAGACAGCCAGGATGCTGGGGTCAAGTCGCCGAGCCCTCATTTGTGTGGAAAACTTCAGATAATTCAACTGAAGTATGGAGCGAACAGTACTCTGCGGAGTGAGGTCAGTTCGGCAACGTACGAAAGCAAACCCTTTCGCCACAGCAGGTAGCTGAGACGTTCTGGCGTGCACCACGTTTGCTGCTGTCTGTTATGGAGATGACATTGTAGATCGGCAGCGCTCCACGCAAAGTGCTAGAGCGGTGCGTGTGGATCTTGAAGTATGTCACAGTAGGGTTTTCTTGTGCGCATGTCCCGGCAGAAGCTTGACTGTTGGACTGGCTTCGGCAAATAGGCAAACAACTCACCGGCCAACTCAAAACTACATGAGTCCATACTGCGGGCACTGTGCCGAGGTCGCAACGCCACTGCGCAGATTTTTGGCAGCCGGCATCTTGGAGATCAGGTCGAAGCTGACATTGCTTGCACCTATCAACAGCAGAATATGATCGCACATCGTCGCCAAGGCCAGGGGAGGAGCATGATGCAGCTCGCAGGCGGCTTTATTGTTTGTCGTGCTAGTTTTTTACACGCGCACTCACGGTGCGTTCCATCTGGTGTTCCTGTGAGTGGCCATGAGGTAAATGTTTTAATTCGGCTGAAGATCCAATCTATTTGGACGACAGCTGGTCCGATGTATAGACAAATAGAACTTTCAGAATTCGTGAATGCTAGTCCAGTTGTTTAATCTCACAGAGCGGCGCCTACCTAGGCGGCAGACACATGTCAGCCTGGATGCGAAAGAACGTACTTGGTTCCATTAGTCAGGCAGGTAAGGCAGTCTGATCACCAGACTCTGGTGATGAGTGTTGAAAACAGCATAGGATCCATTTGTCAAAACGGCAAGGGTTTTCGAGCATAGAAGCGAAAATTAGTGCTGGAAATCTGTAAATCCCGAGGGTCCCGGCAAGCTTAGCCAAGATTTGTCCGGAATCTCCGACATATCCATGATCCCCAAAATCATCGGCTCAAGTCTTGCGGCACCAGGCCTCAAAACCCTACACCCCGACACTCCCGACACTTCCTTGCCTGCCAGCGAGCGGTGAGAGTCGAAGCCCAAACCCTGAAAACAAAACCTCAATCCAACTATGCTGGTGGTGTCGAAGTGCTTTGCCAGCCTCTGATGTAGTCAGACATATGTAGATGGACACAGAGACCTCGTCTGGCAGAGTCCGAGCTGCGAGAGCGTAATGCAACTATTACAACATCACCCAAACAAACCGCTGCAAACACTAGGCTACCTCCTAGACTCAGACGACCTCGCTCCTCGTGGTCACCACGATGATACTTCTGTTCGATGTCATTGCTGACCGATGTGTCCAACCGGCTGTTTCAGCGGGTGCTACATACCGTACCCACTGATACGGAATGTGGAGCAACCCGCTGTCAAAGCTGCTATTGTCTTCGTTTCTTCTGGTGCCGTGCGGCGCTATGCTAAATAAGAATCTCAAGCCATCGGTTGGTTTCTACTGGCAAGAGGCCTTGAGAGTTAATGAACTACCTCATATGAGGGGCATTCCAGGGTGCGCCTTGCCAAGGTGGGTTTCTTTCCGGGTCCTTAATGCAAACGTTAGGTGCTTTTCTGGGGGCCAGACGAGAACTAATTTAGCGATATGCCCTCCTTCTCGTCTTGGTCCTCCTCCTCCTCCTCCTCCTCCGACTTCCCGTCCTGCCGCTCGGGCTTATATGCACCACCACCACCACCACCATCGTCGTCATCATCGTCATCATCCTAAGTATCGTCATCACCATGGTCAGCTGTGCTTGGGGCTCATTGACTTCGGCCCATGGCTTTGCCGGCCCGAACACCAGCCAAAGGTCAGCACTAAGTCAAGCCTTTGACTATGCTTCAGGTTGTCACTTTCGCAGGTTTCCATTAGCTTGATTGCAGAGCCAGTCCAACACAAATTGGAAAACGCCGCATAAGCTCGACCAGCACGTGCTGACCGTCATGGCTACCAGCCACTCGCAAGCAGCTGGAGAAAAGTGTGCCCAGCATGAGAAAGTGAGATGAACGTGCTTACGCTTCGGCAGGAGCTTTCGGCTTTGAACTTTGAGCAGCCGGATGTCGGCTTGGGGGTCCGAGTGTCATTGCAGGCAGGGCCCGGCTTCAGATGGAAGCTTTCAGTGGCCCCGTCATCCGACTTTGTATCTGGCGAGCTAAGGCCGATGAAGAGGACATGGTGATCGGTTGGGGCCTGACACCTTTGGCACCTTGCATCCTCCAGTCGGTGCTGAACCTGCAGAACTTTGAAGCCAATCCGTGATGTTCTCAACGATTTCCTCAGCAGGGCCACTACCTTGTGGCCATATGTTCGGAGAGAGCACAAGCCTTTGTGTGCCAGAAGGCTGATCGACGTTCTGCGGCATCAGCAAGTTTAGCTCAACAGCCTTGCGGGAGGCCCCTGGGCCGCCACAATGCTGTTGCGACTCGCAAGTCTACTTGCATCTGAGTTTGGACGTGCAGAAGATGGCTGTGCGCAAATTGGCGAATTTCCGGACATTGCCAAGGTTTGCGTGCGGGTGGATTCCCGTTTCTAGGCGACAGCTTGCGCAAAGAGTAGGTCGTCTGACAAGTTAACAAACCACGCCAGGGGGTGCATCCTGAAACACTATAACGGTAACAGGCACGCGCGACCACCTCACAGTCAGCTTGCTCCATGTTGACTTGATACACCGAGGTACACGCACATGTTCAGGGGCTTTGTTCAAGCGCATATCAACGAGCCGTCGCAGCCGTTTCGAGAGAGGCTGAACCAAGTCTTCGCTCCCGTACGCCCAGCAGCCAAAATGAGACCTGCGTGCACTCATCCACGACCCCCTAGAGCAGATTAGCTGGATTTGGTCGAAGCTCATCTTATATCACGTTGCCCTTCTGTTGTCCCAAGCGTTGTCCCAAGGCCGTTGGCCGAAAATAAGTACGGGACAGGAATCGCCTCTTTTCGAGTCCCGTATACACGGCCTTCGCATGCCTTCGCTGTACTGTAAGCTCCTTCTGTTGAGGCAGACTTTCGCACTTTCCGACAGAACATCCCAGGCTGCTTTTTGTTCATTCGTTTCTTGCGCAACTTCGTGGAGAGATTTCGCAGCTTAGAGTCTTGTCGAATCGCTGGGGTGTAAGAGCCATCGGCATAGGATCCCAGTAGTTGTGGAGGATGCGCCTCTGCTTGCGACTACACTATAAAAACTACAAAGCAGCAAGAAACGAACGGGCTTGGAGCTGTCAGTTTCTGAAGCCGCCCGTGCTGTGCTTGCAACCCACCTCTTCTCCCCATGTAATAACATGTGTCAACGTGGACGTAATCAACTTTTTCAATCTCAAGCTCCACCTGCGGCAAAGCGGTGTTGACCTGCACCTAATTGCCATCAGGAGCGGAGGTCGGAGGTCGCCATTGCCGCTCCCCTGACGGCGGCACTGAGCCTTGATGATGCTCATCGCGGCGAGCCATTGCAAATTTCTGCGGTTGAACATATCATTGGGAAAGTGCTTAGCAGACGGCCTCTGCATCAAGTCGTGTAGATATGCGAATTATCGGCGCAATTAGTTTACCACATGGATGCTTGACGGTCGAAGCTTTCGATACAATGCTGCTCCATTTCGACACAGAAAGCAGAATTCGATTTTGTGTCAGAGACAGCGCTGCAATACATCGTACACCACTTTGCTGAAACCTTGGGCGGATGCCTGGCTCTGTCTGTTGTCCGAAGCAGCATTCGTAAGCGAAGGTGGGTATGGCGGGATTTCCCGCCAAGTCCATTGACAAGGGGCCTTTACCGGCAGACATTGTGTGGAAGTTGACTTGTATGACGATTGAGAGGCTACTGATAGGACGTGCCTGTGCGGGTCCGCTCGGTTTGCACTCGACTTCGGGGCCTCTAGTCTTTAGCAGCACGATGGCTGCCACCTTCGGGATTTTCGATATTTTAGGCTGCATTTTCGATCCCAAGCAGCTACAAATTGTGTAGCGTTCATGTGCCGAAGCACTGAGCCTCACACTTCAATCGCTGACTGGGAGGGCTTAAAGGCACCGCGGCGGGCTCTGGCGTTCGACGACTTCATGTCCCTAGAGTCATGCCGGCCACAACACATT